AGAAGCAGGGAGGGGACCTGGGTTCTGGACCTGCTCCAGCTGACTCCTGGGTGTGGAGAGTTGGTAACTCATTTTCCCTTCTGTGCATAATATAGTGAATATGGACAATATTGTTTTATAATCACCAAACTCGTTAAAAGACTCGATCTCAATTATTCCAGCCACTAAAAAGAAATGATAATTATGTGAGGTGATAGAGGTGCTAATTATTACTACAATGGCAATCATATTGCATATGTAAATGTATCTAGTCAACTTGTTGTATGCCTTAAACTTACACAGCAGTGTATGTCAAATACATTTCAATTAAAAAATTTTTTTTAAAAGAGGATGTTCCGTTTCAGCTCCAGCTTTCTGAATGCTGACTCTGGAATCTGCCTCCTCTGCCCAAGCCTGCTTTTTCCATCTTTTCCACTCACTGGGAGGTGGCTGGGGCCTCATCCTTCCCTGCCCCACCAGGAAGTCTCCGGGTTGGGTGCCCGTGGGTGGAGGGCGTGCTGTCTGGGAGGCCTGGAACCAATCCCCCACAGTTACCAAGGGACAGTAGTGTTGCGATAAGCGTGTAGTTTGTGTCTTTTATTCTAGGATATGACATACAGTAATGAAATTTTACATGTTAAACCAACTTTGGTTGTGCCCAGTACGAGCTCTGTTTGACCTTGGTGGGGTGGGGTGGGATGTTTTTGTTCCCAGCTTTAACCTGGAGCCTGGCTATGACTTCCTTCACGTCTACGACGGGCGGGACTCTCTGAGCCCTCTCATAGGGAGCTTCTACGGCTCCCAGCTCCCCAGCCGCATTGAGAGCAGCAGCAACAGCCTCTTCCTCGCCTTCCGCAGCGACGCATCCGTGAGCAATGTTGGCTTCGTCATCGACTACACAGGTAAGGGCGCTGCTGGCAGAGATGACTGAGGGCAGGGCCCAGCAGACCTGCCAGAGGGAAAGCCTAGGGTAGGGGGAAGAGCAATGGACTGATCACCACACAGCAGCGCTGCCACCTGCAGAACACCTGCCTCCCCTGTGGCCCTCCAGGTGGCTTAGCCTTTCGCACCCATTTGCCCCAGGCCTGGGAGAAAAGAGGCCAGCATTCTTTTTATACCTCGTTTCTATTTTCACATCATTCCTCCCCTTTTCTCATTTTTTTTTCTATGAGGATCTTTCGTGGCTCTTCAATCCCACAACCTCAGCCCACACATACCCACTAACCTCTTCCTGGTCACTCCCCTGCATTTGCTGAGGATTCCGATGTAAACCTCAATCCTCCTCTCCACCCCACAGCGTCCCGCCATCCTGGATAACTTCTGTGTGCATATGGACCCCAACCCCTGGGGTCACAGTGCCTGGGCCTCTGTCCCATGGACACTCTGGCACCTTGCCGTAGGCTAGACATGTTCTGATACTCCCTGGGCACATTTGGTCATCCCTCCAGTTTTCCCATTCTCTTATTCTCATTGCACTTTTGGGTTAATTAAGACAAGTTCAGTAGTATAAGGGTCCAGGGCAGGGGTCAGCAAATTTTTTCTTAAAGAACCACATAGTAAGCATTTTAGATTGTGAGCCACATCATCTCCATCACAACCACTGAGCTCTGTCCTTGTAGCACTAAAGCAGCCGAAGACAGAATACAAAGGAATGGGCGTAACTGTGCTCCAATAACGTCTCCTTACAAGAACAGGCCGAGTCCCTGCCTGGTCTAGACTCTCAGATTGACTGAGCTCAGGCCTCGTGGCTACCACTTAGCAGTTGAGTGGACTTGGGCAAGTTTATTTAACCTCTTGAAAACTCCAGGTCCTCATCTATAAAATGATAGTAGAATAATTCCTATCTCACAGAAATGTAAAGATCAATGAGTTCTTGCATCAAAGCTCTTGGTTCGGTGCCTGGCACATATCAAGCATCCCATAATGTTCAAATAGGAGCAGTCATAGTGGTCATAGTAGTAGGATGAGTTCCAGGCTCTCAAGCACTCCACTTTCTTCTCTCTTTTTGACCTTTTCTTCTTCCCTAATTATCCCAGACACCATTATCCAAATCCCAACTCTATTTCTTGCTTGATTTGTGGGCTTGGCAAGTTATTATCTCTTAGAATCCATCCCTCTTATCTCTATCTATCTAATTATGTTTCAGAAGGTTAAAATTAAAAGGTATTGCATACTTACATATTATATGTCTGAGCATAATATCCAGTATGCACTAAAGACTCTGCAGATAGAGGTGATTGATTTTGTTTGTGTAACTGTAACCCAAGTGCACCCAGGCCTCATCAGCCTGTGTGCACAAATGGAGTCACGTGACCAGTTAAAAATGAAAAAAGTTTCTGGCTCCTGTCCCCCCCACACCCCCACTTGCATAATGTGGGACTTCAGCAACCTTTCAAAGTGCTCTCTAATTAAATATTTTTGGCAACTCCTGGGACTATCTCACATGAGCTCACAAATAACATCAATCATAGTAATAGCCAACAGTGTCTACCAACTGCTGGCACTGTCCTGAGCACTTCACGCCCATCTATTCATCAACGTCCTCATAACTATCGATTGTCTGCAGTTTGTCAGATGCAGTTCTAGAAAACACTTGGTGCACAGATTAGAGATGTTTTGCTTGTGGTCTTCTTTCTTCGTGGGGCGGCCTGAGCCTCTCTTCCTGCAGACACCTGCCATTTGCTAACCCTCCTGGACGCAAACCCTTCTCCACAGGCTGATAGCACAGCAAACTCTGTCACCGGTGATGGAATTCTAACAGAGGACACGACTTAGCCGACTTAGACACAGCCTGTGACCCCATCGCTCCACCACCACCACCCACTGCCATATCATCATCATCATCATTTTTCTTCTTAGTCATCTCTCTAATCACACCCTCATCAGTACTTTCAGTTTTCCCAGCCTGAGGTCCTTCTATTGTATAAACCTTTCAAAACTGCACCCTTTGTTACACCTACACCCAAATAGCTGAGCACAGCCAGAAAAAGTCATACAAACATGGCACTTTAACCCCAACCAAGCCTTATCAGCCACCAGAGTGACTTCTGACCTGTCTCACCTGAGTCTTGTACTTGATGGAGATTCTAAAATTTCACCCCAAAAGTCACCACTTTCAGCCTCCTTACAAGATGACTTCTTTTCACCATCCCTGGATATACTAAGTTACTGGTAGAAACTCCCTCCGCTTCCTCCCTAGTCACCTTGTTCAGGGTTATCTGGCTGTGGCCACCTCTCCCATAGATCTTCTCCACTGAATCCATGGGCTAGAGCCACACCTCCAGGTCCTCTTTCCCAAAGCAGCCCTTTCCGCTTTCCTCTGTTGGACTGAAATCATATCTAGAGGGATCCTCAGGTCCAAAACACAGCCCCAGAGAATAAGACCTACCTACATGCCATCTAAGCCAGTGACTGAAGGAGGCCAGTCACTGGAAAGAACAGAGGCACAGCCCATCCATGCCCTCTTCACCACCTTATTGTGATCTGTGGTTCCAGTACCAAGATAAATATGTCTGTTTAGGGTGGGTGGTACCCGGTGAGACCTGGAGCTGCCTTCCATATTCAGATTTCACGTCTCCTAATATTAGTCACCCCTCTGCTCTGTCTCCAGTCTCTGCTCAGGTAGCCTATTTGCTGGGACCCAGGCACCCTGCCTTACCCTGTGGTCTCCTCTCCCTGTCCCAGGATCCCTAGATTCCCAGAATGGGTCTACTGTGCAGCCAGATCCTATGGCCTTAACCAATGTGAGACAGAAAAGAAAAGACTATTATAAAACAAATAACTAACGGCCAAACTAATTTAAGCTAAAAGGGGTTCTAGGTTTTAATATCACAGATAACGAAAACTTAAACTGAGCTCCAAAAGGGGATGTATTTTTAGAATATGAGAGCCCCAGAATGGGAAGTATAAGGGACTGAAATCAGGGTGGGAGAGTCAGAGGTTGGGATTACCCTCCTCTGTCTCCAGAACCCATGAGTCTCTTCCCTGCCCCTTTCTGAGTATTTGCTCTATTCTCCTTTCTCTGGAAAATAATTTTCATTGCTTCTCCATTTCCCTAAGACAAGTGTGGCTGTCTCACTCTTGACTCTGAGTCACTTTCCAGTCTGCATCCAAATTCTGAGTCCCAGAGGACCATCGGGTTGACCAGGCTTACGTTAAGCATCACAGAATTGGGATTTTTCATGAGGAGCTAGGATAGATCAGGCATGTTTATTCATTTGTTCATTCAGGAAATCTTTAGTGAGAACCTACTATGTGCCATACACTGTGAAAACAGAGCAAAGCCCCTGCCTCCGGGGAGTTCACTTCCTAAACGGACAGACATTTCTAAATGAGAAGTTGGCGTTGGCAGCCCACCTAATCATAATGTAGCGATGGGTGGTTTCTTGGTGTCTCTGTTCAATTGCTCCTGGAAAGTGGCTGTGGTGTCCGCCATTTCTAGACAGGCCTCCTGGGAGATGATTCTGGATGCAGTCATGTCATTTGTGTAATTTTTGAGACCATGCTTTGAGGCACTTCTCATCTGAATTCTGCCTCCTGGGTAGATTTTGCCCTTTGCTAGAAGAAAACAAAAGGAATGAGGAGGGTCCTTTCTTTTGGATACAGTTATTAAAAAGGAATCCCGGGAGGTTACTGTCAATCTCCAGGCCAGAGAAATCGGCAGAATAGGTGGGTGGGAATCTTTATTCTCATCTTCCAGCGGGTGTGGTGGCCTCTTCCTGGGTAGGGACAGGCTAGGACATCCATGAAAAGGTATAGAGATCATTCATCCATTTGATTAATGTTTATTGAGCTTCTACTTCATGCCACATCCTGGGCTGGGTATAGAGGATAACCAGTGAGCAGAATGGTCACGGTTCCTACTCTGAGGGAGTGTAAAGGTGAGTGAGGGAGACAAACAATAAAGAAGACAAACTAGAAGTGAGAAGCATGAGAAGTTAGGGAAGAGCAAGCTACTCTGAGGAAGAGAAACAAGGAGCCCACTTCAGAGTGACAGTTGGTAGAGGTGATGGCTTTGCTGGGCAGGTGACATTGAAACAGAGACCTACAGGTTGAGAAGAGCAGGGGCGAGATGATGTTCAGACAGAGGAAAGAAGAGCTCAAAGCACTTGTTAGAGAGTCTGAAATAACTCAGGGAAGGCCAAGGTGAATCAACCTGGCCTGGAAGGTACTAGGAAGTACCTATTTTCTCTTTCAAGCCCTCGGAAGTGACACTGTGAGCCAAGGAGTTGCAACTAGATTTCCACACCTGCTCCCACTGTCACCACCCACCGCTGCCATGGGCCTGCCTTCTAAATTCGAAATGGAAATCTCTTCATTTCTGCTTATTTTTAAAGTAGCACCTGTTGGGAGGAAGAATTCAAACAATACAGATGCATATAAGATGAACTCTAAAAACTTCCATCCTCTGTTACTACCACCCCTGAGAACCATTAGTCATGGCTTGTTGTCTCATTCCAGATAGTTTATATAAAGTAAATTCTAGACTAGGGTTGGCAAACTTTTCCTGTAAAAGGCAAGATAGTAAATATTTTAGGCTTAGCAGGCCAGATGATCCCTGCTGCATCTGCTCTTCTCTGCTGCTATAATGTTAAAACAGCTGTAGACAGTATATAAACAAATGGGTGTGGCTGTGTGCCAATAAAACTTTATTTACAAAAACAGGTAGGGCGCCTGTGAATTGTAGCTTGCTGATCCCAGTTCTATATAAATGGAATCACACCATGTATACTAATCTGTAATATGGGTGGGGTTGTTTTTTTTTTGGGGGGGGGGTTGCTTTGTTTTTTACCCAGCAATATAGCCCTTGGACATCTTTCCATATCAGTATTCAAAGACTTCCACTATTCTTTTTAAAGGCTGCTTGTATTTCGGTGGATGGCTCTAATTCAACCTTTTTAAATAGTTCTGTATTAGTTGAGGGTTTGGGTGGTTGTTTTTTGTTTGTTTCTATTACAACATTTAGAAATGCCCCTTTTCTATTAGGATAAGAAGAAGCTGGTTCTTATAATTTCCCCCTTCTTGGGGGGTGGGGGCTGGGTATTATTTATTATCATCATGATGTTTTAGTCATTTAGTTTTATCATTTACAGCTGAGCTCTGGTTTGGCAGACCGAAGACCAAATTTTGGTCTTAAATCTGCCTATTAACAGTTGAATGACTTGAAAGACTTAGTTAGCCTGTCTGATCACCACATTCCCCATTTATAACCTGGACAGCAGTGTACCTGGCCCTGCCCACTTCAGAGGCCACTGTGATGTACAAATGCGATAACAGGTTGGAGAGTACTTTGAAAATTACAAAGTGATATTCCTATGTAAGAAGCTATCATCATTATCATTATCCTAATCATTATTATTAACACGATAATGATGCAAGGATGAGCTCTTCTGGCTCTGACATGTGACTGTAGAATAGAGTCTGTAGTTGGAATCATTGATTTTCCAAGCCCTGAGGTGTCCAGCCAATCAATTCAGCATCCATTTGTTAAGCCTCTATTATGTGTCAGATACGGCCAGCCCTAGCACCAAGTTCTGTGCTAGTTGCCGGGATTCAGAGAAGAATAGGTGATGGTCTCTGTCCTCTATGAGTTCAGAACCTACTGAAAAGAAACTTTATCCAAATTACAAGATAGTGCCATGCACGCTAGGTCAAGAGAAGAAAAGCAGGATTCCGCCAGAGAGAAGACAGGGTTGAGAAATGTGCTCAAGAGAGGGTGGCATTGAAAAGTGCAGGATTTGCCTACAGAGGAGGGAGGAAAGGACTTGTGGACACAGTGTCTAGTTCTGGGGCCCAGTGCCAGCGCAGCAGTTACCTAAAAGCACAGTTGCTGTTACGAGGTAGAAGTTTACTTCCTGTAAAAGAAGTCTGGCGACTGTCATCGAGGCTAATGAAGTGGTTCCACCCAGGTTCCTTTGTCTGTCTGCTCTACAACGCTAGTGCATGGCTTCAATCCCAAGGTTACCTCGGGGTCCAAGGTGGCGGCGACTGGAGTTCCAACCATGATGTCTGAGTTCCAGACTGAGGGGTGGAGGAAGGAAAGGAAGAGGGAAGGGCCAAAGAGCATTCTCTCAGCTGTCACCTTCCCTTAAGCAGCCTTTCTAGAAACCCCACACTTACCCACTTAAGAACACTATATATTGAGTGCCTACCATGTGCCAGGCACTGGACTACAGCAGTGAGCAAAACTGAAGAACCATCCTTGTAAAACCTACATTCTAATGGGGAGAGAGAGAGAGAAATGAGGTAAGCATATGGTACATGAGGCAGTATTGATCAGAGGAAAACAGCAGAGAAGGATGACGGGGAGTGTGGGGAAAGGAATATTGAAATTTTAAATAGCGAGTCAGGAAGGTGTCACTCTCCCGATGATTTCCAGCCCTAGAGTTCCAGCCAAATTCAGAAGACATTGAGTTAAATCCTCAAAGAGGTGAGAGAAGTAGCCATGCGGATGGGGGAACATTCTGAACACAGAGGCCAATGTGGTTGGAGCAAAGTTAGAAAAGGAACAATAGGAGTTGAGGTCACAGAGGAGAGGATTGGAGGCAGAAACTGCAGGGGTTTGTAGGCCTGTAGGCTTTTGGCTTTTCCTCTTAGTGAGACAGTAGAATATAGTATTATTTGACCTGACTGTGTTTATATCTCTTTGGCCAGACCTAGCTGTCCAGGAGGCTGGAAAGTGTAGATTTTAGCTGGTGCCATGATTCTCTGCATAAAACCTGGGTTCCTTTGTTTAAGGATGAAGATGGGGAATAGATATTGGATGCCACACCTAGTTTTGCTTCTAATGAGCTATGTGGATTTGATCCCAAGTTACTTAATTTCTCTGAACTTTAAATAAGATTTGACCCACTTTGAATTTATAAGAAGGACAGATGAAATATAAGATCTGGGGACAGTTCTCTGTCTCTGTGATTTGCATATGAGTCAGGCAATGGCCAGTTGTATTCTTGCCAGAGCCACCAAGTTTAGGGGGAGGACAGATTGGTGTGGGAGTCAAAGGGACACATCACAGGGCACCTGAAGAAGCCACTGAGGGGTCCTCTACTAGGTGAGAGACAATAATCTGGGTCCCACTTGAGTGTGAATTTACTGGTATATCTGGGACTGCTCCACCCCCTGATATGGGGAAAGACCAAGAGCAGGGCCCTCATAAGGGCTCCGATGCAAGAGTGGCTAGAGTAGACTCAACAGGAACATAGACTCTCAGAGCCCCATTCCATCAGTCAGCAGGCTGATTGGCAGCTGAACAACACACTCTAAAGCCATCGATGCCACTTGTATAAGTAGCTTACAAGGCACCAGGTGACAATGACAGCCATCAGCCAATTTCCTCTTGAGCCATTCATCTCTGAACTCTGATCCTTTTTATTCTGGTTCTTTCCTCATCAGATCTCTTTCAATTTCTGAGTCCTCCTGCAAGGACTGTTGGCACCTCTTTGTGAGCCCCCATCTCTAGATCTCTTGGTAGCATAGTCTCCTGATATCAGTTGCATTTCCCTGCTACTGCCCAGCCTCCGTTGTGTCCTGACACTGCCCAGCCCTGATGACAGGCCTTTTGACCATCAGTGGTCCTGGAACAAGGACAATGAGGAGAAGCAGTGCATGGAAGTGAACATGGTTCAGGATTTCCAGCTGACGGCAGGGAGGCTGAGGAGATTCGGGGCCCTGGCTAGTCCTGTAATTGCTCGGGCAGCATCAGGTTCACTTTGGTCCAGTGCAAGGGGCAGAGTGGGTGCCTTTAGGCACGTTGTGGTATGCCTGATTGGGAAGACATACAAGCACAGTAGCCAAATGGGAAATACTGTCTTAATGAACTAGCCAGCACCCAATGCCCCACTGTAAAGCTCTGGAAGAGTGTTGGAGACCCAGGCTTATCCCGTCTAGAATGGGCTTTCTACTTTCTTCCTAAATCTAGTATTGATAACCCTGGTGCTCAGAAGTGCCTGCAAGGTATGGATATGACAACCTACAAAGCCAGTGCCAGTTCCACCTCCCCAGCCAGCAGCACAGTTGTAGGCAAAAGAAAGAGAGGGAAAGAAAGCAGCCACCAAAAGTGAGGCAGGAGGCTGAGGAGGCCTGCCGTGCTGAGTGTGGGTGGTCTAAGATGAGCAAAGGGGTGGACTGTGCCTAAGCACTGACCTTCACCACAGTGACCCTGTCCGCAGTGGGATATGATCCAGGACCCTCAGCTCCTGCCAGTCCCAGCATCACATGCCTCTCTGGGAGAGTGGGCTAAGGGATGAGAAAGCTCCCCACAGGTTTACACAGTTCCCTCCTTCATAGTTCAGGGCAAGAATGTGGAGCGAGGAGGTGAAATCACTCTGCAAGATGATTTCCAGCCCTAGATTTCTAACCACATGTGCTCTGTGGCTATTACAGTCAGGGCTTCCTTATGGGCGCTGCACCATGGAATCAGGCCACTACTGAGTGCTGCATATGTGTATGTGTTTATTTTTCTTTTTCCCAGAAAACCCACGAGAGTCATGCTTTGATCCTGGTACAGTCAAGAACGGCACACGAGTGGGGTCCGACCTAAAGCTGGGCTCCTCCATCACCTACTACTGCCACGGGGGCTATGAAGTGGAGGGCTCATCAACCCTGAGCTGCGTCCTGGGGCCCGATGGGAAGCCTGCGTGGAACAACCCCCGGCCAGTGTGCACAGGTGGGGGAGCCAGGGTGGGGAGGGAGAAGGAGGGAGTGAGGGCATGCAGAGGCAGAAGAGGCTATGGGCAAGGGGAGGGGGAGGGGGGAGGGAGGCAGGGTCCTCAAAAGCAGGGTTGCTCCTTGGGTTCGCTGTAAGTGAGAATGGCTGATCATTCACCAGGTATGCTAGGCCCTGTCAGTGTGTCATCTCTCTCAGATCAGTATCCCACCCACACTCACAAGTCCTCAACAGCGGCCCGCAGACATGCCAGCGGCTCAGACCAGGGAGAAGAGAGTTTAAAGATGACCCAGCTCATTTTTATTTCTATGAAAACTCACTTAGGGGCCCGATGTGTAAAACTAAGGCCCCCGGGGTGGGCTGACCAGGGATGTGGGTTAACCATGGAATCCTAGCAGATGTAATGTCAGAACTTCAAGAGCATGGTAGCCACCTAAGTTGAAGAGCACCCTTTGCCCAGGTGAAAGAGCTTGGCTCTGAGGCCCACCCCCTGCGGAACAGGGTACCGTGGATGAGAGCAGAAGGTGGCTGGGTCGTGGGGCTAGTCTGGGGAAGCCGTGGCTCTCCACTCATGCAGATGCTAACCACCAGGTGCAGACGTCAGCCATGGGAGTGGCAGAGTAGTTCTGGTTCTCCTTGTCAGCAGAAGAGGTTCCTAAAATGCTCCTCAAGGCTGTGTCTCCAGAGACCAGCACCCTTGTTAATAGTTAGAGGGCTAGGGTTGACATGTGCGCAGGAGGGTCGCTGATAGCATCAGGGTGGGTTTTAGGCCATGTGCCAGGTCGGGGATGGATGTCCTCGGGCAGGACAGGGTGGTGTCCTCAGAAGTCCCTTCCTCCACGTCAGTGGCTGTGCACCTCATGGCAGCCCAGCAGGGCCAGAAGCTCAATTGGGGCGTGAGCAGGACAGGACGGACACTGATGAGGCCCACAGGTCACCTGGCCCTCTGTCTGATTTCTCTTTCAGCCCCCTGTGGAGGACAGTATGTGGGTTCAGATGGAGTGGTCTTGTCCCCCAACTATCCCCAGAACTACACCAGCGGACAGATCTGCCTGTATTTTGTCACTGTGCCCAAGGATTATGGTATGGGGCTTTATGTGTGTTTATTTGTTTACGTTTTCTGACTCCTTCCCACTCCTCAGCCCCTTCCCAATTGTATCCCAATTCCACTCCCAATTGTATCCGCGCCTTTTGTGGGAATAGGCCGAACAGTGTCCCCTAAAGAACAACTGAGTCTGGATGCCAGAAGTGGGCTGTCGAATACACTCCTGACACACGAGGCAGGAAGGGCACAAGTCGGCCAGAAGCAAGGGGATGGGGGTAGTGAGGAAGTAGGCAGAACCCAGGGAAGGTGGGAGCACTCGGCTACCCAGCACAGCACAAGTCTGAATAGAGATGCTGCAGACCCATTCCCGATTGGGAACTCAGGGATGGGTAGCCAGGGGGCAGGAAAAAGTGAGGAGTGGGATGGAGCTCGGTTGCAAATACAGGTGAAGGGGCTAGGAGCCACATCATTCCTTCTGAGACCTGAGCCTGGTCCAGCAGCTGTAAGCAGGACGAGCAAGAAAAAAATGAGGAGCAGGCCCTGAGAAGACATAGAAACCTCCAGGTTCCAAGAATCCAAGGTAAAAAGAAGCAGAGCTTCTCAACTGGGAGTGGGGACAGTCACAAGTGCTGCCGGCCCTGGGGGACTCAGAATGTTCCTGGGGAGCACAGGCCACTGGTCCCTGGACAATCAGGTGAGCAGCCTGGCTGCTTTCTCCCTGGGTCTCTTCTTTGTAGGGGGAATAAGAACTATTTCTATACACAGTTGGTGTCGAATGGGGCAGAGGGCATCGATATATCCTGACCACCTAGGAGAGAGACGGGGCAGCCTGCAGAGAGCAGGCTGCTTCGCAGGGCAAGACCTGCTGTCACTCCCCAAACATCTGTTAAGCACCTGTCAGGGACAAGGTCCTGTGATCACATGGAAAATGAGGGGTGTTACCAAAGCCCTTTCATGTCCTTGAGTAGCTGCAGCAGCTGCTCTCTGGGAGTAGATGAGCTCAGGGCCACCGTCACCAGCCTGACCATCGGTGCAGTTCTCAGTGTGATCCTGACCCATGTGGGAGGCCAGCCAGCCAGCCCTTCCCAGCTCCCTGCGTCCCTGTGCCTGGGGGCTAGCCAGTGTGCTAATCAGCCAGTAGAAAGGCTCAGCAAGGAGTTCGCCCCAGGAACCAACGACTCCCTCTGAGGCTTCCCTCTTCCTGGCCTAGGGTCCCCCAGACCTCCCACCCTTCCCCCCAGCATGGCACGCAGTCTTCCACACTGAGCTCTCCACACTCTCCCCCCGCAGTGGTGTTTGGACAGTTCGCCTTCTTCCACACGGCCCTCAATGACGTGGTGGAGGTGCACGACGGCCACAGCCAGCACTCCCGGCTCCTCAGCTCCCTGTCGGGCACCCATACAGGTACCCCGGGCCGGGCCAGCAATGGGGGTGTGGTGGGTCGGGGCCTCACGGGCCAGCTCAAAGGAAAGAGGCCCTCGGAGCCTGCCTGCCGGTGGAACCCCACTGTTGGGTGTTGGCAGCCATCAGCTCCTGACAGCCCATACCTAGAAGGGGGCTTCCAAAACCGCTCTCACCCCAAGCTGTGTCTGCACCACCCCCGTGGGGTGTAGCATGCCCCGTTGTTTTATATTTAACCCCAATACATTTCTCCAATTATAAACATATTGCATTTTCATTGAGAAAACTTACAGCAAATCAGAAAATAATTATATAGAGAATTAAAATAAATAAAAGCCACCCAGAAAGAACCACTGAAAAGATAGTGTATCTCGTTTCCAGTCTTTATATCTACTTAGACTTAATCTTTTACATATTTTATTGAACAAAGCAGTATACATATTTTTATTGAAATATTCATCATGAGCATGTCATTATGTCTCTGTCATTATTTTATCCTATAATAGGATTTTTAAATGCTGCATAATAGTCTATCATATAGTTATTTAAAATTTATGTAATGAATTCCCTATTATTGAACATGTAGATTGTTTCCAATTTTTCACTCATTTGAATAGTAATTCCGTGTATTCTACATGTCATTATACACATCTCTATTACCTTGAAATATCTAGAAGTAGAATTGCCAAGTAAAGGATATGTGAGATCCTTAATTCTCTTTTAACAGATTGTCAAATATGCCCCTAGAAAATTCCTGCCACTTTGCTCACCAACAATGAATAAGAGGGAATGTTTTATCCTCACAAAATTGGGTAATTAAAAAGCAAAAGCATTATCAGTTTGAAAAGTGAAAATGGTATCTCATTTTTTAATTTGCTTTTTTTATTACTAGTTAGGTTAACATTTTTATAATGAAATTATTGGCCCATGCATTTTTTATTTGTGAATCCACTTGTGAATTAGTATTGATTTTTCTATTAGCATTTATTTTCTTATTTATATAGTAGAGTACCATATTATTATAAGCTATATATATAGTATGCTATAAAAACCTCTTGTCTATATCATATGTTATAAAAAGCCTTCCCCTTTCACTTGCCATTTAATTTTCTTCAGGGTGTGTTTTAATGTCAGGAAATTTAAATTTTATTTAAATTTGTGTCGTTTGCCATTTAATTTTCTTCAGGGTGGGTTTTAATGTCAAAATTTAAATTTCCTGTAGTATCAAATCTATCAGTGTTTTTCTTTTATGGTTTTCTCCTTTACTTTCATGCTGATGAAATAAATATTCCTCTGTGTTTTCTTTTACTTCTTTTTCATTTCATTGTTTTGTTTTAATAACTTTGGGCTTTATTTTGATATATTATTTGATATAGGGAATATAATCATATTCTTTCCAACTTAGTTAATCAGTTGTCCTAACAGTACTTTCAAAATGCCAGATTTACATATATTAAATTTTTATGAAGGAAAGGGTATGTTTCTAGACCTCTTATCCATTTCCTCTAAGTGTCTGTTGACTCTTATATCAATATGAAAAAGCTTTAATTATTGTAACATTATAATATTGTTTGATATTATCACAACTTTAAACATACGGTAAGATAAGTTCTCATAGACATTCTTTGTTTTGAATTTTTATTGGCTTCTCTTGCTTAACTTGTGCCTCCAGATAAATTTTAGAAATATATTGCCAAGTTTTTTAAAAATTGCATTGGAATTTTCACTGGAGTCCGCTAAACCTATAGATTAATTGGGGATAACTCATCTTTATAATAGGAATTCTTCTTCCCCTTCAGGAACATGCTGTATCTCTCCATTTCTGCTTCCTTTGTAAGCTTTGGAAGGTGTTACAATTTTCATTTAGGCCGTATGCATTCTTTGTTAACTTTTTTCCTAGATATTTCATGGCAATTGTTGTTGCTACTGTAAATGGGCCTCCCGTGTTATGTTTCCTAATTGATCTTTGCCAGTGTATTAGAAGACTGGCATTTTTGGTGTATTCATTTTGCAAAGTCATCCAACCCTCCATAACAATGCTAACGCTGCCAACTGATTCTCCTGGGTCCTTTAGGCAAGAAGTAATATCCTCAGCACATAAATGTATCTCATTATTTTATCTCTGCCTCTTCAATGTTTTTTCTCTTATCTCCATGGTTATTGGCCTGTTCCGGTATCTTACTTTGTTATGAATGCTGATGTTTTATATTTTAGTAAAATTTTTATTTTGTAATTATTTTAAACTTAGCAACATTGCTTATATAATATGCTGTGGCACTAATTAATCTCCTTTCTGATTGTGGTTATATCTCCTAGAACGCTGTGTTCTCCTCTGACTCCGCTGGACCAGGGGTTTTGTGTTGTTCGTTTTGTTTCATTTTCTTTTTTACTGCATCTACTTACCAGTTCGTCTGTGGTTTGGTTATTATTTCCTAATTAGTTAACCTCTGCCTTTCTTTTCATAATGTCTTTCTCCCTCTTTTGTTCTTCAGATTATTTTGTTCTTCTTGTTCTAATGCCTTGAATTGACAGCTTTGTTTGTTATTTTCTCTGTGTAATGAAGAGCATGTTTACAGCAATATATTCGATATATTCGCCTCTAAGCATAGTTTGGTTTCAAGCCACCAATTTTGATATGTACTGTTTTCATCATTGTTACTTTCTAAATAATTCATGATCCAGTTTTATTCTTTTCTCCCAGGACTTGTTTGAGAATGTCTCTTTCCCCTATTTCCCCCAAGAACCTGGATTTTGTTCTTGTTACATTTGTGTTGTTTTCTGTTTTTATTGTCATGTGGTTAGAGAATGTAGTTTATACCATTCTGCCTTGGGGATTAAATGAGGCCTCTTAGTAGCCAAGGGCTTGTTTTTAAATTCCCCAAGTATCTGAGAAGAATGCAGGTTCTCTGCAGGATCCAGATGCCTTACAGAGAGAAGGGCAGCTCAGCCCCTGCAGCCTCCCTGCCTGCACTCTACCTCAGCTCTCCCTGCAGCCTCACCTCCTACATCTAACCTCAGCTCTCCCTGCAGCCTCCCTGCCTGCATCTAACCTCAGCTCTCCCAGCAGCCTCACCTCCTGCCTCTAACCTCAGCTCTCCCTGCAGCCTCACCTCCTGCCTCTAACCTCAGCTCTCCCTGCAGCCTCACCTCCTGCCTCTAACCTCAGCTCTCCCAGCAGCCTCCCTGCCTGCCTCTAACCTCAGCTCTCCCAGCAGCCTCCCTGCCTGCCTCTAACCTCAGCTCTCCCTGCAGCCTCACCTCCTGCCTCTAACCTCAGCTCTCCCTGCAGCCTCACCTGCATCTAACCTGAGCTCTCCCTGCAGCCTCCCTGCCTGCACTCTAACCTGAGCTCTCACACTTCCTTGCCAGGTGCCTGGGGGCACAACACTTGACCACTCTGAGGTTCAGTTTCCTCATCTGTAAAATGCAGAGTAAAAGTTCTACCTCCTGGAGTTATTGTTTGGATTAAATGAGCTTTGTAATAGCAATTAGATCAATCTTACTCAGTTTTATTTTTCAGATTCGTTATATCAATGGTTCCCAATCAACTAGAACTATAAATTGGGATCTATTGTGGTAGGATGCTTTTTCAAAATCTCTGATAGATAGATAGATAGATAGATAGATAGATAGATAGATAGATAGATAGACAGACAGACAGAGGTATAAGTAGATATAGATATAAAAGTATAGATATAGGTACAGATAGAAATGGACATGTATACATTTGGAACTTATAGATGTATATATGGATATAGTTGTAGATACAGATGGGGACCAGAAGAAATAGAAATAGAAATAGAAATAGATAGATAGATAGATAGATAGATAGATAGATAGATAGATATAGATATAGCATCAATATATTCAAATATACTCAAATCATATCTTATTCCTCATTTGGAGAAATACTGATGATGAGCCGCCTGTACTGATGGGAGTGAAGTGTGTATTGAGGAAGGAAAAAACGTAGGGACACTACTCAACAATCTTCGTTTTCCTTTTTTATTTGCTATGTCAGTGACTGAGATTGCTGTGTGGAAGTGTTTCCCATACAATTGTGATATTTTGTTATCTCCTTGTGTTTCTAACAATTTTTATAACTCTGTTTGCCTAACATATCTTTCCTCATTTTCTGTGACAGTCTTTTCCTTTTAAAAGGAAGTTTACTTACTGATTTTATAAGTGGAACATCTGGTGTGCTACCTGTCAACTGTTTTGTTCTTTCTGGGTTTTTATTTGGTTTTGAGTTCATTGCTCCTCACTTTTCCATTCATATTGACCCCATCTCTAATTTCCATGTTTTTTTATATATTTGGATTTTTATATTAATGTTATTAGTAATTATTTTTAAATTATGGACTTCTTCCTCAAGAACAAGTTTTTATTTTTACATTTAGTTTTATTACCTATTCATAATAATTTTGGGGTTTTACTGTACTTTCCAGATTGTCTTTATCCCTGAAGTTTTTTATTTTCTTAGTTTCATTTTTTTAATAAGGCTCATAACTGCAATATTTTCTGTCACCTTGCATGTATGAGAATGAATTTCCTTTGACATATTATATAATTGACAACTTGATTCTAAATCAAGTTATGGGTCACAAATTTTTTCTTTCAACATTGTAGTATTCCACTCTACTCCAACAGCTACTGTTGCAGATGAGTTGGAGTCCAACCTGATTATTTTGTAGGTAACTAGTGCTTTTCTTTCTAAATGCCTTGCATATTTTTCTTAATTTCTAAAATCAAAAAGCCCACCAGGATGTTTTGCTTAGAAATCATTTTCCATTCATTAGATCTGGCACTTTATGAGCAATTTCAGTCCAAACCTTAAGTCTCTCTTAAGCTTAGGAATGTTATCTTCTTTCCTAACTTATTTTTTTTCCTCCTTCAATTTCTCTTGCCTTCTCTCTCTAGAATTCTTGATATATGCATATTGGATTTTTTCATCTGTCTTCCATGTCGCTCATCATTTCCCTCATTATTTTAATCTCTTTATCCTTTTTCTGTGAATTCTAGAAGAATTTCCCAAATTTAATCTCCATGTCTCTGTTCAATTTCTGCAGAATCCATCTGCCACGTACTAGCATTTCTCATCTCTTTGAAGCCTTTATTAATCTCAGCTCTTTCCTTTGACATGTCTTTCTCCTCTGATTTCACAGGTGCAATGCTAGATTTAATCTCGTGACAGTCATGATTGACAGTCTTCTGAGATTTTGCCTGTTCTTTGTTGTAGTTCATACAAAAATATTCGCATTGGTTTCCCAAGAGTGCTTTCCTCCCTTAAAACTTTGAAATATTTTCTTATGTCCAGTGATTTTACTAGCACTTGCTTAGCCATGAAGAGGGAAGTCTGCATATGTCCAGGAATGAAAGTCCAAATGGGTTTTGTAGGAGGTTAGGGGGGGTCCTCATCCACACGTCAGGCTAGGTGATGGGAGAGTGGAAAAGCTGAGTTTTGTCCCACTGACATCCATCAAGGGGAGAAGGTAGAGATAACAAGGAGACCCTCTGTCTTCATAAGTTGTAGTGGTATTGTTTTTTTGTTTGTTTTTTTGGTGGTGTTTTGTTTTGTTTTGTTTTTGCTTTGGCAGCCAAGAGTTAGCTGGGACAATGACTCCTAACAGGCTCAGCCACCTGGGTCACATGTAAGTCTCAGTGTGCTGTGCAAAAGGCTGTCCACTCCCTATGGCCAATAGCATCCCATCAGCTCTCTGCTTTTAGCTGATTCCAACTCCAGTCCTCACTGCAGTGGAAATGGAGCCTAGCTCTCTGCAGCCCCCACTTCCCTTCTGTTGCTGGAGTCAGCAGCCATTCTCAGGGGGGCATCATGCAGAGTGGCCATGCCATTGCCTGCCACTCCATACTCCCTCAGCTCCACAGGAAGGTGATGATGACCAAGACTGTGCTTCCCGGCTGTAGTTCTGGTTGTGCTGTCTTTATTCCGTCCGTCTGTACCACATCAGCAGAAGGTACACCTTCATCTTTGATAGAAAGACTGTCAGACTTCATGCACCCATTCAGGTTTCCATCAGTTTGTGTTATCGGTTGGGTGACAATGTGTCCTGCTTTGCCTGGGACAGTCCCAGCTTCCACTTGGTTGCCCCAGTATAAGTATTAAGAGCATGCCCTCTTAGTCCCAAAAGTGTTCTCAGATGGGCAATAATTATAGGATCGCTCTGGTTATTGATCATTTCACAGAGAATCTGGGAAAGGCCAGTTCCTCCCAAAGATCACAGCACCCTCCTTCCTGAAGCTGGAGCTTTTTCTTCTGTCAGACGGAGGGCAGCTCTCCTAGCAAACCGGTTTGCCGTGGCCGTTGTCCTCATCCCTCGGGTCCGCACATCTTTAGGGGCTTTCTCCTCTCGAGGCAGGTCATTTAGTCATTCTGACCCTCTTCCTTGATCTGTTAACTGGGGTTACTGAGCTCTTGTCATGCCAACCTCACATTGACTGTGAGTCAGGGTAAAGCCATGGATGCTAAAGCCTTCTGCAAACTTTACACTGAAACCGGCAGTAAAAATGTGAGGTTTCATTTCAGGAAGACCTGGGATGTGGAAGGAATTGCTGTGCGGGGGATGGGCACCCTCTCCTTCCTGGCCAGGATTTCAGCTGCCAGCCCAACTGCTGGACTCACTGTCTTCCTCTCCTCCTCACCCCTTATCTCGGCAGGGGAATCGCTGCCCTTGGCCACCTCCAATCAAGTTCTCATTAAGTTCAGTGCCAAAGGCCAAGCACCAGCCAGAGGCTTCCACTTTGTCTACCAAGGTATGTGGGATGTGGGGCTGGGAGGGCGAGGCAGTCTCAGGTTTCCAGCGACTCAATGCGACCTCTGCCCCTTAGTCTGAGACGCATTCTTAGGGCATTTGGGGCAGTTACTAGTTTGCGGGGCAGCTCTTTGAAATTCAGTTTGATTTTATACATTCATTTACTCAATAGACAATTCTCAGACCAAACTGCATGTTGAATGCGGGGAGAAATCAGACATGGGAAGCTAATTCTATCCCTATACTGCTTGGTACAGCCCCAAAGGCAGTGGTAAGACCAGCTCAGGCCTTTGCTAGACTCTCCTATGGAGCTTGGTTTTCCACAAGGCCCAGGAAAGGTGTGGGGGAAACAGGCTTGGCAGTGAGATGGACATGGAACTGGATGCCAGCCCTGCCACTTTCTAACTGGGCACCAGTTACTCCAGCGTTTGGAGTCCCAGTTTGCTCACCTGTTAAATCAGGGTAATAACATGACTTCACTGATAGGATTAAAAGAGCTCCCAGAGTAGCCAGACCAGGCAGGTCACCAGTGTGTGTTCCCTTTCTTACTGGCCCTGGTCCCCTGCAGGCCCCAGCCTCTGCTTGCCTGGGAGACTGTCCCCTTTTTAGGGCTCAGTCTAAGTGTGGTTCTGTTCATTCGATTGCCCAGATGAGCTACCTTGCCCTGTGCAGGGGGAATCCTGCCACAGGCGATGCCATACCTGGGCTTAGGTTAAAGGTCCTGTCTACCATTGTGGGTGGGAAGCGCGGAGATTCGCGTGATGGAGATCAGGCCCTGGGCAGGTCTCAGGCACATGGGAGAAGAGACCAAAAGCAAGTGAGGGCACTGACATGGAGGAAGGGCCATTCTCCCTGGTGGGGAATGTGGGAACCTGATGGTGAGGGCCATCGTTGGAAGGCAAGGACCACCACTGGGCCTGCAGCCTGGGCTGGGGACTCACACTGCCTCCCTGGTTTCCAGAAGCTGTGCTGCAGCACGGTGTCTTCATCTTTAGTTCAGTAAACGGGCCTCATCCTGGGAAGCCCTCACCCCTGCCAAGGGAGAGTGCCCAGAGCCTCTCAGGGTCCCGTCCAGGCTGTCAGGTCCAGTCCAGGTGTGTGTCCATCCCTGGGCCCGTTTCTAGAGGGAGAGGCCTGCCCCTCAGTGCGCTTGTCCCCTGCAGCGGTGCCCCGAACCAGCGCCACGCAGTGCAGCTCTGTGCCCGAACCCCGCTATGGCAAGAGACTGGGCAGTGACTTCTCCGTGGGGGCCATCGTCCGCTTCGAATGCAATTCCGGCTATGCCCTGCAGGGGTCCCCAGAAATCGAGTGCCTCCCTGTTCCCGGGGCCTTGGCCCAGTGGAATGTCTCAGCACCAGCATGTGTGGGTGAGTACCTGGACAACCAGGACTCGGGGAGGGGCGGCCGGAAGACAGTCCCTTCTCCCTGGGGAGGCAGCTACCCCGGGACACACAGCAGCCCCTGGCTGCAGCATAACTTAAGTAGGGAGTCCCGTTCCAGTCAGATCACTAGTCCTGTGGGTTGAATATGAAGACAGCAAGGAGGAGGAGCTGAGGTTGCTAGGGGTGGGGGGACATGTATGAAGGGACACATATGGGGCCAGGCCCCTGAAGAGGGTTGCATGGGGAGGATTCATGGGAGAGGGTGAGACTGGGGCTCTACTGGAGAAGCCAGCAGGGGGAAGAGTCACAAGCAGGCTGGGACGCCCTGAGAAAAGTCTGTTTGGGGAGGTTCCCATGGGAGACCCTCCAAGTCAAGCCTCTGACCAGAGTTGCCTCCTCCCAGTGCCATGCGGAGGCAACCTCACGGAGCGCAGGGGCACCATCCTGTCCCCTGGCTTCCCGGAGCCCTACCTCAACAGCCTCAACTGCGTGTGGAAGATCATGGTCCCCGAAGGTGCTGGCATCCAGGTAGGGGCGAGGAGACATCTCCATCAGGCAGGTGGCAGGAGCAGACATAGCCCTGTCCCTGCCCTTTAGGCCAGGTGTGGCGTTGAGGCCCACAAACAGAAAAACAGACAGCTCATGGCCCAGGAGCTGCAGGGTAGGGAGAGTGAGGAGAGCTCCAGGTAACGGGGAAGGAGGAGGGGTGGGCACTGGCTTCAGCCATCAGGGCGGGCTGGAGAAGGAAGTGGACCTGGGGCTGGAGTACAAAGACTGGGGAGGCTTCATAGGAAATACTTTTCAAATGGCTTGAAGGGTTTGTGTGGGGGTTTTCTTAAGATTGTGGGGACATTGGGGGTAAAGGGAAGGAGCGAACCCAGAAGCACACGCCTAGAGCGTCACATTTGCAGCCTGAACCGAAGGGACAGAGTTAGGGCCATAACGGGTGCCCAGTGGTCAAAACCAAGTGGAGGAATCCACAGGCTGTCTAACCAGCAGTTCAACCCCTCTACCTTCCCAGATTCAAGTCATCAGTTTTGTCACGGAGCAGAACTGGGACTCGCTGGAAGTGTTTGACGGTGCAGACAACACTGTGACCATGCTGGGGAGTTTCTCAGGTGAGGAGGGACTTCCAGGGACCTCAACTCAGAGGGTAGTGGTGGACTTTATTATTTTTAATTAAATTTATTGGGGTGACCTTGCTGATTAAGCTATATAGGTTTCAGGTGTACACTTCTGCATGGCCTGTGTATTGTATTTGTGTGTTTACCACCCCAGGGCAAGTCTCTTTTTATTACCATTTATTTATCCCCCCTTTACCCTCTTCTACCTCCCCAGAACCCATGTTGCCAAGATATAAAAAGGAGTCCTGTGCCCCAGATAAACTGCCTGCACTGCCTGTATTGCCCAGATAATGAGACATGTCAGAGTTATTTTGAAGATGGCTGGAAGGGAACTCAGCCTACTGCTGGCAGGAGGCTCTGTCACTGCTCATTTTGCAGAAAGTTGTTTGTGGTCTCCCTCCTCCCTGGGACATGGGAGACCCAGCACTCTGAGAAGGGCTAGTTTGTCTTTTAGTGAGTGTCATCGTTGGGGATATTTGGGGTCCTTGGGAGCAGAACGTCCTCATGTAGCAGAAGCAAGAGGAAAAGGGAGGAGCTCTGGGGGCGGGGAGCCTAAGCCTGAGTGGTCCCTGTTTCTTGCCCTAGGAACCACTGTGCCTGCCCTCCTGAACAGCACCTCCAACCAGCTCTACCTTCATTTCTACTCAGATATCAGCGTGTCGGCAGCTGGCTTCCACTTGGAGTACAAAAGTGAGAGTCCAGAGTCTCAGCTGTGTACGGGGTTCAGGGTGGGAACGGGCAGGTACTGAGTGCCCAGGCTGAGTAGGGGTCATAATGGGGCTGTGTTTTCTCCATCCCACTCAAGCCTTATCACAGACCTAGATGAGACCTTGAAAGCTCAGAGAAGATCCAAAACCTCCTTAAGGCTGCACAGCCCGTGGAGACGGGATTCTCACCCAAATGTCAGTCACTCAGAAACCTGTGTGCTTCCTCTGTGTCCACACCAGGAATGGGAAGGGGGCCTGGTGACTGGCCTATGCCCAGTATATCATTTGGGATGTGAGAAAACAGAAGTGATCTCCTCTAATGCCGAAAAGCCAGCCTCTCCAAGCCCTGGTCCTGTGACGCGATTGTCTTTGGCAATGTGGGGAGGCAGGACTGGCTCCACTGGGTCTGACAGCATGGGCCTGTCAGATGGAAGCCCCAGTTGGTGGTAGAGGCCTGACAGGGTCAGCACTGGGTGTTATGCAGATGCTCAGCCGGTCTCCAAAATCAATGAGCTTTATCCAGGGAGTTGGGAGAGGCTTAGCTGGATCCCAGGATGCGCATGGCCTGAAAGAACCGAGGAGTACCTAGTAGGAGAGACCTGGGGCAGCTTGAAGCAAAGACCCCGATGGGGAGAGGATAGGACAGGGACCTCAGGGACCTTCCTCCACAAACCTCTAAGGCTCCACTCAGCCGGTGGAGTGCAGTATCCAGGGTCTTTAAACCAATCCACATTTTTTTCTTTTACCCTCTTTTCTGTTCTTTGCATTTTTGTGTCCTTATTCAGTATTTGAATTTGAGTCCTTAAATGTTCCCGAGAATCTTCTCTTTATTTTCTTTTTCCAAAGACATGCTTTCTTCCTAAATCTTTGTCATTCTACTGCCTCATTCCCAGGAAAAATCCACCTCTGCTCAATTTTTCCCCCTCAAGGGAGCTGGTAGTTTTCTCAGCAGCTGATGTTTCTCATGCACTGTCCTCTCCTGGGGGGAAAGGCTAGGGGGAAATGAAACCCCCATCAGTATTTAGAGACCAAAATTCCTAGGATCCAAGACCCTGTAGTAATCTTTTTGTTTTGTAGATAATCTACAAAGCGGTGCAGACTGGAGGTTTAATTGCTATCGTACAGCCAAATGGTTTTGAAGGGTACTGAAGAGTCACATTTACTGCTGTGACTCATATTTAATGTTTACTTAATTGAAATGGAAATGGAACAATATGCTTTCAAAAGTAATAAATTGCACATGATGAAAATAATTCTTCCTTTGTTGCAAGCATGGCTTAAATAATTATCATCAAGGTGTGCAATGGAAGAGAAATGAGAATGGACTTTTCTCTGTCTCCATCCTTCTTTCTCTCTCTGGCCTCACTTTTCTCCCCATTCCATTTTTCTCCCATACTTTCCTGCTCTGGCTTTCTCTCTTTTTTCACTCTGCCCCTCCTTCTCCTTCTGTCTATCACTGCCTTTCCAAGCAGTAGGCCTCGGGTTACTAGGTTGTGATCACCCCACTAAATACTGAGTTGTATTCTACTTGGAGTGCAGGAGGAGTGGGGAGAGATAAATAAGATGACAGCCAAGATAAAGTACTTTAAATTCAGTTTAATCATGGTTTTAATTCTATCCTTAAGGTCTTTTGTCCCAGCTGCTGAGATTTTTGGGCATAGATCCAAACAGCCTTCATTTACAACCATCACATTCACTTCTTACAAGCCTGTGTAGACCCTGGCCAGTTTTGCTCTGTGGTTAGAGCATCGGCCTATGGACTGAAGGGTTGCGGGTTCTATTCCCGGTCAAGGGCATGTACCTTGGTTGCCATTCAATCCCCAGCCCTGGTCGGCACTAGTGCAAGAGGCAGCCAGTTGGTATGTCTCCCTCATGTTGATGTTTCTCTCCCTTTTTCCCTTTCTCCCTCTCCCCCTCTCCCGCTTCCACTATGTCTGCAAATCAATGGAAAATATATCCTTGAGTGAGGATTTAAAAAAAAGAAAAAACCACAAACCTATGTAGGACAGGAATTGCCTGGGAAGAGCATGAGGGAACTTTCTAGAGTGATAGTAAGTTGTGTAGTTTTGATGATTTTCAGGAGGGGAGAGCAGGGCTGGGGTCAATGTGAGGTCGGGTGGCCTCAGAGTTTGGCCCCCACCTGGGCAGACCTGGAGTCAGACTGGGTTTGATTTGCATCCCAGCTCTGTGGCTTACTAAGGGCAGGTCTCTGTGAAATGAGATGTTAAGACCTGCTTCAGGTGGATGAGACCATGTGTGTGACACGCTCACTCCAGCCTTGCTCGTGGGCAGTGCTCAGGGAGTGCTGCTCTGGCGATGATGGTCGGGGTGGACAGGGAGGAGGAGGCAGAGGGGGAAGATTGAGACAGGTGCCCTAGCAGAGCTCTGTGCACAGTCCTGGGTATAAAATAAGGACTAAATGAACGCAGGCTGAACTTGGAAAGGCAAGAAAGGCAAAGGAGGGAAGCGCATTTGAGAACCTGTAGAGATTTTGGAAAGGGACCAGGCCAAGGTCATGAAGCGTATCAGGATGTCAGGATGAGAAGGTGAGATTCCATGTGCTAGGCGATGAGGACCCACTTCAAGTTGCTGAACAAGGAAGTCCCAGGATTCAAGGAAAGATATTAAACATCAAGCACCTGTAAGCACAGGATGGACGGGAATAGAATGGCTCAGAGGAGGGATGACAGGGAGGCTGTTGGGTCCAGAGGTGAGTGAGGACCAGAGCAGCCATGGAGGTGAAGTGCGAGGACCCCCAGCTCTTCTCCCAAAAAAGAGCTGGCCTACCTTTAAAATGCAGCAAGAGAAAGAAGGCAGTGGAGTGTCTCATCCGCTGGCCAACTTTCTCCCGGCAGCCTGTCTCAGAGAGGAACTCTGAGCCCCGGGCATCACTGAGCTGGCCTTCTGATAACTGCTTCCTTTCCTTCTTGCCTTTCCTTGGCCTTCTTCCTAATTTCTTACCCTACAGGAGTTGTCATCTTAGGGGGAGGAGAATGGAGAGACGTTGTGAGTCCGGGGCAGGAGTGATGTGGGAGGAGCCCATGGAGACGGGTCGGGGGGCTTGGAACCAGGGCTGGGCAGCTCCAGAGGCCTTCTGGGAAGCCCAGGAGGCAGGCGGGCAGCCAGAGTTCCCAATAGGACAATACCCACCTGTCCTAAGGAGCTTTAGTCTGTGGAGCCACTGTGCCAGGTAAATATTCAGACTTTCCCTGTGCTCTGTGAGGTGAAAGGGTTGGGAAGCGCTAGCCTGGACTCAGAGAGCAGGGAAAGCCCAATTTGGAGGCACCCCTCTCCTCCCTGCTGCCAGCATCACCCTCAGCCTGCGAGTCCATTGACCTGTTGTGCTGGTCCATTCTCCTTTCCATCTGTCTGTCTTCTCCAGCGGTGGGCTTGAGCAGCTGCCCAGAACCTGCCGTGCCCAGTAACGGGGTGAAGACTGGCGAGCGCTACTTGGTGAACGATGTGGTCTCTTTCCAGTGTGAGCCGGGATATGCTCTCCAGGTACCTCCCCTTGGCAACCAGGGCAGGAAGCAGGTGTCCCCTGAGATGTGCTTGGCCAGCCTGGCACCAGCAGAGCGGGAGTCACAAAAGAACAGGGTGCAGTGCCCCCCCCCACCACCACACACACACACACACACACACACACACACACACACACACACACACTGCCCCAGGGACCTTTATTCCCTCCTAGAGCTGTTCAGGCGAAAGACAAACTTTGCTGACTTTAGTGATTTGGCACAAACCAGCCTCGAATGCGTTCCTGCAAAGTTTCGGTTTGATTAGACTTTAGGAAAATTTAATTTTCCTTTGAAGGCCATGAGGGAATCTGGTAATTAAAGGAGGCTCACAAGGAAGCCTGATAATGAGAATTCTCTAGTAACAGCTGTTACACTAGAAGCATCCTTCCCCCAAATGTCTCCCTCTGCCTCACTTGCCATCCCACAGTGGACCTACGCATCTTGTCCCCTAACACAAGGTCCCCGAACGAGCCCCCTGTCCTGGGTTGTGCATACAAGTGAGCCCCTGAGGCAGCCTGCCCACCCCTGTTCCTGATTCCTCCAGGGCCACGCCCACATCTCCTGCATGCCCGGAACCGTGCGGCGCTGGAACTACCCGCCTCCGCTCTGTATTGGTAAGAGAGCCCGGACTCTTCAGTTCATTCACATCCTTGTTCCGCCAGGGATTGGAGCTCAGGGACATAGCGAAAGACAGTTTGGTTTTCTGGGTTGGTTCAAAGACAGTAGTTGTGGGCTGATGTTTTTGCAAGCTTTCACTCTCACTCAAGGCTGTCATGATGTTCAGAAACCTTCGCCCCTGTAATTGGAAAAATTACAGGAGCCTTGCCTGTTTGAAAAGGTGATGATGGCCATTCTCCTTCCAGATAACTGACCAAACCCCAAATGGAATGTCTGCTCTATGGGCTTTCCGTTGTGACTTTTCATGCACAGAGTGATAAAATCCACTAACAGAAGTACTGAGGGTTACATGTTGAATAGGACTTAACTTGGTTTGAGCAAAGGTAAAGAGATCAGTGGGTACAAGAAAAGATGGTGTCTTCTAGTCAGGTTGGGGCAGGGGAAACTAACAATGAGTAGTGAGTGTCTACTATGTGCTAGGGACACACTTCTTCGGAGGGAGTATCATTATTCTCGTTTTTGTAAATTTACGAAAGCGAAGGCTCTTAGAATTAAAAAGAAAGTGGTGGGGTCGGGAATGGAAACCTAGGTTTCTCTGATGCCGAGGCAACTGTAAAGGGCCCCTCGAGACTGACCCTGGGATCGGAAGCAGGGTGAGTGGAAGGAGTGTCACTGGGGCTTAATGGCATTTCCCTCCTGTGATCTCACCAGGTGCAGGGCCTGGTAGTCCGCCGAGCCATCCAAAATGTGACTGGCCAGCCCAAGGCTCTTCCCTCTATTATGTAATACAAAAGCTCCACTGAGGAAGCCACTCACATTAACAGTAGTTGCCACTGGTTGAGGGTTTACCATGAGTGGCAGCTCCTGTTCCAAGTGAAGTTCAGGTTTCGGTTTTAACTACCCTGTGACATAGGTATTTCACAGTTGGGGGAAACTGAGGTGTGGAGGGTGTAGAACTTGCCCAAAGTCACACAGCAAGTGGAAACATTGGGACTGCAACCCAAAGTGGTCAGTGCCAGAGGCCTGCTCTGCACCTGGCACTGTTCTCTTCAGGCCTAAACAGATCCCTCTCCCAGAAAGCATTGGCCTGGACCCCCAGAGCCCTGCCCTCTGCTCCTTTCCCTGGGGTTCATGGCTGCCTAACCCCTTTCTGCTCATACAACCTCTTCCTAATAAGATGTGAAAGGACAGAATTTATGTCAGCTGATCAGGCTGTGGTGGCCTTGCAGCCTCAGATGACTCTGAAGTCACCTCGATTAGAGTTTCAGGTGCCCAGCCCCTGTGGCTGGCTCCCCATGGAATGGTCATCTTTGGCTGAGCATCTGTTGACCACTCAACCCCATGGAGTATAAATTTATAAAGAGCCTGGCATGGTGCCGAGCACAGAGTGGGGATTCAGTGCATGCCAGTCCCCTTCCTTCATCCTTTTTCTTCCATCTTGGAAAAGTTGGTTAGACAATGAAGAGAGGGAGATTTAGGGGATGGGTAAGAAATGGAAACGTTTCCATTTCCACTTTTGCTGTAGGAGCTCACTAAGGGAATTGACCTGCAAAAGACATGTTCAAGGTCAAGGGCCTATAACTTGGGTTTGTGGACAGACTGCTGGGAGGTCCAAGGGTGCTGGGCAGCCCTTCCTGAATTTATTTGCTCTGTTTTGCCCTGTGTGCAGTTATTTAGGGAGATAAACTGTAGGTTCTTTTAGATTCTCAAAGGGGTTGATGACTTGGGGAAAGGTTCAAAACTGCTGCTCTAAGTGAGTGTCCAAAGGTTGGCATGGCCCCGTACGCTCCTTGATGCTGTCCTAACCCTCTGGTCTCATTGTCACAGCACAGTGTGGGGGAGCAGTGGAGGAGATGGAGGGGGTGATCCTGAGCCCCGGCTTTCCGGGCAACTACCCCAGCAACATGGACTGTTTGTGGAAAATAGCACTGCCCGTGGGCTTTGGTAAGTCTTCACACCTCGGTCTCTGCTTAGAGCACCTATTTGCTGCAATCACTCAGCATAACCTTGGCTGAGGCAATTTAGCTCTCTGCCTCTCCGTTTCCTGATCTGTTGACCACTTGTACAATCGGAAGTTCCTTTAAAAATGGTAGAGATGAGCCGAAACCGGTTTGGCTCAGTGGATAGAGCATTGGCCTGCGGACTGAAGGGTCCCAGGTTCGATTCCGGTCAAGGGCATGTACCTGGGTTGCGGGCACATCCCCAGTGGGGGGTGTGCAGGAGGCAGCTGATCGATGTTTCTGACTCTCTATCTCTCTCCCTTCCTCTCTGTAAAAAATCAATAAAATATATTTTTAAAAAAAATGGTAGAGATGAATGTTTTAGAAGCATTAAATGTAGCGAGGGCAGGGAAAATCATAGGAATTGCCATTATTAGTATTATTATTATTATTATTATTATTACTATTTGAGTAACAAGCTAAAACCCAAGACTGTGGAATGAGAAATTACTCAGGGATGGTTAAAAAGAAAAAAAAGAAGAAAGATCTATTTTACAGACACTGGACCTCAAATTGTGCTTTTAACTATAATATCCAATTTCTTGTCCTAATTAAATTGAGCAAAGGTCAACATGAAATTGAGTTTGCATTCTTCATAGGCACATTCTGGCTAGCTTTGGAGATTGGGAGATTTTTTTTTTTGAGGAGACAGAGTATGGCAGTAGGGAGGACAGTGATCCGGGTACGAAATTTAATTGCTGACGATTCACACATATTGTGTACTGAGAATATAATTTAACCCCAAATAAATCTGTTGAAGAGAAAAGGGCTTGTGTTGACATGGAACTCATGGGCTGTCCATGTAGGTCATCTGTCCCGAGTCACTGCTCCGCTCCTGGGGAGGAAATGTCCTGAGGGGATCTTTCCTGCATGGGCCTGGGACCTCCCAGTCTGTGACCTCAGGAATGGAGACCATCTATTTTGTCCTTAATTCAGCCTCGAGTGGGTCTTCTCATGGAGAAGGGGTTTTTGGGAGAAGGCAATCTAAACTGGCCTTCTTTTCATCTGTCCTGAGGGAAGGAGAGAGGTTGGTGACCCTCCAAAGGATGGAGTCTTACATTTAGAACCACCTTCTGAAGGAAACCAAGTTGAATGATAAGACTACAAAATGATGATGACTGGGGCAGCCTTGGGAAATCCCCAGATTTGAGACATTGAAGGAGGAGGAGCTAGGATATCCTGTAGCTCTTCATTCCAGACATGGGCAGAAGAACCTCAGATGATAGAGGGATAGTGGGGAGGGCAACATCCAAAGGAAAGCAGAAGTTTAAGCGGGAGGTATATCACTGTTCTCTCCTGACGTTCAGCCACCAGAGTTCTCTAAGTCCCGGGTGCCTGTTCAGCCCCCGGGGAATAAGCCTTCTGCAGGGTCCAACTGCAGAAGGCCAGGATCTCTCCCTCCCAGGTAGTCCCTACTATGGCTTCAGTGTGTAAAGAGCCACAGCATTTACCAGCTGCTGCCACTATATGACAGTGGGCACATCCCATTCTTTCCAGGCAGCACACTTCAAAAATCCGGCAAACCTCAAAGAGCCCCTTTGATGGACCTGCAGCCCACAGTGTTGGAGTGATGCATGGACAGTAGATTGGAAAGCATAGGTGATAGGTACAAAAGTGCTCATTACAAAATTATCCACAATTTGGAAACAATCTACATGTTCACTAGTATGGGTGTGAATAGTGTTGTTGGATAATTCATAAAATCATTGAAAATCAATGTCATTGAAAATCAGTGAACTGTATATCTTTGTATATCAAGAGTAGGCTTTGGAAAACACAGCATTGAGCCTGGTCAGTGTGGCTCAGTGGTTAAACACCAACCCAGGAACTAAGTGGTCACCAGTTTGATTCCCAGTCAGGGCATAAGCCTGGATTGCGGGCTCAATCCCCAGTAGGGGGCATGCAAGAGGCAGCTGATTGTTGATATGTCTCTCTTATAGATGTTTTTATCTCTCTATCTCTCCCTAAAATCAATAAAAACATTTTTAAGAGAAAAAGGAAAACACAACATTAAATAAAAATAAGTTTACTTAACTGTTTATAAAGTATAATATTATTTATGTAAATATTTAAAACAAACCCACATATACATTTAAGAATCTAAAAACATGACCTGGAAGGTTTCTTCCAAATTCATGATAGTGACAGCCTCTGTGAAGGGAAGTAGGGGAATGGGATAGGGCAGGAGACATGAAGGATCTTCAGAATCACATGTCAAGTCTTACTCTATTCTTTAAATAATCAGATACAAAAGCAAAATCATGCATCTGAGCTCATTCTAAGCAAATTAGAAAGTACATATGAACATTTTTTAATTAAAATTATCTGTAATCCCACCGTGCAATCACTAGCAGCTTCATCCTCACCATTAAAAGGGAACCCCATGAAGACAAGGGCCTTGTAGATCTCATTAATCCCTGTGCAATGCTTTCCACAGCCCTGATGCAATCAATATTGTTAGAGAATCAATGAATAGTCTTCTAGATTTTAACTACAAAATTGAAAATTATATACAACCTACTATTTTGCAATCAGATTTTCACAACATTATAGACATTTTTATGCTCAATAAATATATTTCTTTAATATCATTTTCAATAGTAATCTAATTTTGAGAAATATTTTCATTAACAAAATCAATAGTCCCACCTCCATTCTCCAAAGAATATATTAATATAAGTTAAGGACTTAATTAGCTATTTAACCTGTCAGGTTGCTAGGAGATATTGATTCATCCAATTAGATCCTAAAGTATAAACTTTATTTGGCTTCTTAGTAGAACAGACGGGACAAGGTTTTCTCCTATTTCTGAATTATCTTCAGCGTTCTAGAAAACACTAGTCTTGAAGTTCATGTTTTTCAATTGGGTGGGGAAGATATTATGTTTTTATTGATTTTTAGAAAGAGGAAGGGAGAGGGAGAGGGAGAGAGAGAAACATCATTGATCGGTTGCCTCCTGTACACCCCTGACTGGGAAGTGAGCCTGCAACCCAGGCACGTGCCCTGACCAGGAACCAAACCCGTGATCTCTTGGTCCATGGGTCCGTGCTCAACCACTGAGCCACACTGGCCAGGTGAGCATATTATTTCTTTTTTTTTAATATATTTTATTGATTTTTCACAGAGAAGAAAGGAGAGGGATAGAGAGCCAGAAACATTGATGAGAGAGATCGATCAGCTGCCTCCTGCACGCCCCCCAGTGAGGATGTGCCCGCAACCAAGGTACATGCCCTTGACCGGAATCGAACCTTGGTCCATGGGTCCGTGCTCAACCACTGAGCCACACTGGCCAGGTGAGCATATTATTTCTAAGTAAAATATTTATTTTAGCAAAGCTATCTTTATAGCAATATAAGACATAAGAATCACAAATTAAATTGTTATCTTGAACTTCATTTTCAATGAAATAAAATGAACTTGAAATGGAACTCTGAAATGACTGATGCTCTTCCTTTTGAATGAATAATATTCGTTTAAGTTCATTCCTGCCTGAAGACAAGGGACTGGGTTGGCAACTCCCAGAGCCTGTTCTGGGAATCCTGATTGGGCAGGAAGTCAGCAGCAGGGATGCGTGGGCTCTGGCAGGAAATGCGTTCACAAGGCGGCACTTTTGAAGTGGGACTGTATTGCTTTGGGCACTGTCCGCCTCTCTCTTGCTCCCAGGAGCTCACATCCAGTTCCTGAACTTCTCCACCGAGCCCAACCATGACTTCATAGAAATCCGGAACGGCCCCCACGAGACCAGCCGCATGATGGGCAGATTCAGTGGAAGTGACCTTCCAAGCTCCCTGCTCTCCACGTCCCACGAGACCACCGTGTATTTTCACAGTGACCACTCCCAGAACCGGCCAGGATTCAAGCTGGAGTATCAAGGTGAGGACAAGGAGGGCCCATGTGCTCCTGTGTCCCTCCCCGTCTCTCAGCCTCCCGCATAGGAGAATGGAGAACACAGGAAGGACTGAGGGGATGGGGAACAGGCCTATCCATGGAGGCTTCTTTTCGGTGGCATGTCTCTCTGGCCCAGCTGAGACTGTTTGACCCCATTTGATAAGCCTTTTCTAGGGTTCAGGCCCAACAGCACCCCCGGAGGGTCAACCTCTTTCCAGGCCCGATAGCCAACAGCTTTCCCTGAGCAAGAGATCTATCAGTTCCTCTTGGGCATCTCTGAGTGTGCAGCCAGCCCTCCCCTGGGTAGGCTTACTGGCTCCCTCTGGGTCCTCCCTGGTGTCAGGTCCAATTACGCTCAGCAAAGCTGTGACATGACGGAAGATTCCAGTAACAATCCCAGGAGAGCCCAGGGAGCCTTCACAATGAGATGGGCCCACTTACTGCTCCTAAGGGTTTTCCCGTGTGTGGCCCAACCACACTCACTATACAATGTTTCCTTCCCTAGTCAAAAGCCTGAGACAGATCCACCCACTCCTCCTGGCACACTTTCCCAGACACAGGCCTCACCCCCTCAGCTCTAGCTTCCCCTGTGTGAGTCCCACACCCAGTGAAGCTGCAGGGGGGCTTGTCCTCGTGGCCTGGCCTTACCTGTGCCTGCTAAGTGCACACAGCCTCACCGGGCTTGGTAGTGGGGCTATCAGGTGGGTCATGGTGCATCAAATGGCCACAGTCAGTCCGAGGAGAGACTCAGGCTCAAATCCATGGTCAGCATTCCTCTCCAGGACAGACGCGTGCCTCGCAGGCTTCCCTGAGTATTAGTTTGCTAAGGCTGCTCTAACAAAGTACCATAGACCGAGTTGCTTAAACGATAGAAGTTGAATCTCTGACAGTTCTGGAAGCTGGAGTTTTTGAGGTCAAGGTTTCTTCTGAGGCTGTGAGGGACAGTCTGTTCCGTGTCTCTACCTTACTACTGGGCAGTCGCTGGCCATCTTTGGCATTCCTTAGCTTGTAGAAGCATCTCCACCATCTCTGTCTTCATCTTCCCATAATTTCCTTCCTCCCTGTGAGTTTGTCACCAAAATTCCCCTTTTCCTAAGGACACCATTTATTTTAGATTAGGACTCACCCTAATGACCTCATTGTCATTTAGGTAAAGAAAGGTAAAGGCCCTGTCCAAATAAGGTCACATTTGGAGGTGTTGGATTTTGAACTTTAACAGAGGAAGTTGGGAGAACACAAATCAACCATGATGCTCTCTGCCTCGCCCAGTCTCTCCTCGAGGCTTCTCCTCTCGGGTAATGCAAGATGGTGCCACCATTGTGACAAGAACAAAGGTTCTGGCACCTACATACACACTGTGCCTCTGCCCCTATGATGGGCACAGCCCTGCCCACTGAGTCCATGTGATAAGCTCAGCTATCCTTGTCAAGGCTGTCCTCTGAGACCCTCAGACTCCATCAATTCCCATAGAAGGGACCTACCTACTCCCAAAGAGCCCTGGCCTCAGGCTTAGCCCCTCCATGCTCACCAAACCTCCATCTTTGAGATGTACCCCTCCTGAGGCTGGACTGCACAAGGGCCCTGTGCTGAGGCTCCAGGGTGACGGGCCAACTCTCTGGGTTAGCGTTCCTCTCTGTGACGTGCTCACTGTCCCCACTGAGGCTTCACATGGTCAGAGACCCGGGCCCCTCAGGCCTTTTCCTGGGGTTGTGGGGAAGGGAGCAGGGAACAAGGCTGGTTCTGTGGATGCCTTTAGCCAACACCTCTACCAGGAATCGGCCCAACTAGGTGAGAGGCCCAACAGGATCCCCTGGGGTTCAGTCTAGCACTGTCTTCCTTGAGCCTGCTTTTCTCATGGAAACATTGGTAGGTAGCATTTATTAAGCCCTTACTGTGTACCAGTACTGTGCAAAGAGTTAGGCATATATTATCCTACTTAATCCCCACAATAACCATTTTATGAATAAGAAAACTGAGGCACAGAGAAGTTACATAACTTTCCCAAAGCCAATCACTAATCAATGCCTAAGTTCTTCCTGAGTCCAAGTCTTGGTGCTTCACCACTGTGATGACTCCACGGCTCCTGTGGTCTGGCTGGGGAGAAGGTGCCAGAGTGAATAAAGGAACCTTCTCTCCTGATCTTTTCTAGCCTATGAACTTCAAGAGTGCCCAGACCCAGAGCCCTTTGCCAATGGCATTGTGAGGGGAGCTGGCTACAACGTTGGGCAATCAGTGACCTTCGAGTGCCTCCCAGGATATCAGCTGATGGGCCAACCTGTCCTTACATGTCAACATGGATCCAACCGTAACTGGGACCACCCCTTGCCCAGGTGTGAAGGTATGGCCCTCTCTTATCCCTTGGGATTTTTCTGAGGGAGACTGATCCAGAATAGTCCTATATCTACTTGTCTGGTCCATGGGATCACTCACACTGGGAGGTCCTTGAAAACGCTGTCCATCCTGTTTTCCTATGGATGGGACCCAGCCTATCCCTAGGGAGGGATCCTGGAGACAGAGCTCTGGACCAACTCTAGGGAGGACCTGGAGGAGACATGAACCACAGCCAAGGGAAAACATACTCAGCCCTTGGGACTGTCCAACCTGATGAGTCGATGTCCCCGGTCAGAAGGAAAGACTCTGCTTGGTTTGTAGGAGCAGGTGGTGAGTTGAGGGGTAGAGAGGTAGAGTTAATCATGGCACCTTCCCAAAGGGTGAAGGGAGTAAAGCCTAGAAAAAGAAAACATCTTGTCCCTGTCATCACCTGCCCCCGTCCTTATGCTCTTTCTCCTACATGTGCCTAGAGAGATCTGAGTTGATAATACGAGGGATCTAGAGGTGGTACTTTCCTGGGTCTTCATTAACCAGAACCGGGATGGAAGAAGACCTAGAGTTTGTGCTGCCTCTACCCTGTTTACTCACCTCAGTTCCATTTTCCTTCATTTTTCACTCTTGGGCTCACCATTTTCCTGTAGCAAAGCTGGGATTTGTCTTAAAAGGACTAAGTGTGGCAGGGGTACAGCAGAGTGTATGAGAAAGTGCCCCAGCTCCAGGTCAGCTCTTCCTGGGCTCCATCCGTGAATCACTTCCCCTCGCTGAACTTCAGTTTCTTCCTTAGTACAGTGGGGCATCTCATCTCTGCTTTATAAGAGCTGGAAGGGTTTCAAGACCCTTCAAGACCCTGAAAGTGCCCAGAACAGTCGCTGACTCACATCAGTGAGCTCCAAGTATTAATTCTCCAAAGAAAAACAGACCTTGTTTGCAGAACTGAGTTGTGCTGGTGTTTGAATGAAAGATTGTAATTTCTAAAACTCTTAACCACCCTTCCCCCAAGTTTGTTTTTAGATTTTCACAACTATCTCTGTGCAAAACCATCCCTTATGTCACAAGCTTCATTATGGACTCTCTTCCTTTTTACACCTCGTGCATCTGTTTGTGGCATCACAGGAGAGAGGAAAGAACAGTGTTCAGTCGGACATCTTGAGCCAGAAGCCCCTGTCCCTCCTGAGAGAGCTCTGTCCTTGGCTTCCTTGATGCCATCTTCTCTTGTTTTTATAATTACCTTTCTATCTGTGCCAGCTCTTTGGTCATTGTTTTCTTCACCTATCCCGAGGCATCTAAATCCCAACATGTTCAAAATTGAACTCATCATCTTTCTGCCATCAGACTGAAATTCTCATCTAGTGAAGGGCACCTCTAGTCACTGGGCTACTCAGCCCTTAATATGGATCCCTTCCCTCTCACTCATCTGCCACATTCACCAAGTCTTCCTAATTCTACCTCCTATTTATCGTTCCAGTGCATCCACTGCCTCTACCTTAATCCAGGCCACCCCTTAGATGAGGCTCCTCTCTGGTCTCCCAGCCTTCAGTCTTGCACTCCTCATTTTACTTTTCACAAAGTGGCTAGAGCATGTCTTCAAAACCATTAATATACTCCTGACACCCCCCACTCAGAAGCCATCAGGGCATCCCCATCTCCTGAGGGGGTAAATTCCAAACCCCTTCATGTAGCACACCATGTTCCTCATGGCCTGCTCTCTGCTTACCTGGTGTTCTCCACTCACGCAGACATTGCCCTCCAGCTAAGCTGGAATACTTTGTTTTCTCAGGTGCCTGTTCTCTTACCTGTGGTTCTCAGGGCGTGCTGTTCCTTTCTCAGAGAACGTTGCTCTCCTCTCCTGCTTTGCCTGAGGAGCCCTTTGTCCTTCCGGTGTGAGTCTAGATGTGAATTCTACCAGGAATCCTTCCCTACACTCACAAGACCAGATGATGGGCTCCCCTAAATGCCTCTGTGGCGTCCACACTGATGGCACGCTCCCCCTAAGCTGTAGAGGCCCGTATATGTGGCTATAGCCAGTGGACTCTGTATGCCATGGGATAGAGCCATGTGCCAGGGCTTCCTGGCTCCCTTGATCTCCCCAGGCCATGCCTGGCACCTAGTGGATGTTCAGTACATGTAAGAGGAGTGGTGTGTCCATGCAATACTTTCAGGATCCATTTGTATTCACAGGGCCTTGTCTTCTGCTGGGAGGCATTGGGATAGGGCCTATCCACCTGTCTGCTTGATGCCCTATGCCAGCCAAATACTAGTGCACTCATGATACTGGACTGTGTTTTCTCTGCCAAGAATCACTTTTTTATTCCTCCCTGGTGACTGAATCTGAACTGTATGGAGACTTCAGGGCCTCTTCATCCCCCTACCAAAATCCTAGGTGAGAGTGAGTCTAAAACTGGGTGTCACTTTGGGAAAACAGGAAGGTAGGGAGAGAGAACCATATCTGGGTAGCAGATGCCTTCTCTGTGATGTGGGGACTGGTTGAACACTTGACATATATCAGTTGACCTTACCACCACACAATCCTATGAGGGGGTATATTTTTAGTCCCATTTTACAGGTAAAGAAAAAGACTAAACTTCTTATCTGAGGTCATCTAGTCAATAAATGGTTTATCTATTTGAACCCAACCTGAGCCTCACCACAAGCATCTTCAACTCAAGTCAAGATCAAAATTACCACTCTGGGAATCTTAGAGCAAATAAAAAGAAAGTTCCACTTTCATAATTTTCTTAGCTCTTCTCAGCAGAAGTACTGCATCTGCCTTCCATTTCTAGGGAAGGAGAAGGGAGAGCTTTATTTAGTGTGTCCTTCCACCTGGAGAAGTGTCATCCATGAGAAAGAGAAAGAAGGAGGCGGGAGGTGGGAGCAGACTCTCAGAAGCACCTACACTGAAGATCGGGGCCCGATGGGGGGTGGTGTGTTGGGACTGGTCAGGGAAGCCAGGCCCAGCCATCCTCAGCCCCATCGCCTCTCCCCATCCCGCCCGATCTCCTTGAACAGGACAGTTTTTGCTGGGAGCTGGGCCTTCATTGGGAAGTCATCTGAATTCTCAGGTGGGAGGTGATCTCCAGCATTCACCTGTGTTCGTGTTCCCTCTCTGCAGTCCCCTGCGGTGGGAACATCACCTCTTCCAATGGCACTGTGTACTCCCCTGGCTTCCCCAGTCCATACTCCAGCTCCCAGGACTGTGTCTGGCTGATCACCGTGCCCATTGGTCATGGCATCCACCTCAACCTCAGCCTGCTGCAGACAGAGCCCTCGGGAGACTTCATCACCGTCTGGTAGGCCAGCTGCCATGTTGTCAGCCAATAAGAAAGGGGCATTAGCTGAGCTCTGAGCTGGATTACCCATCTGTGTGTTCAGCACACCAAGAGCTGAATGGCTTTACATGGCTGTCAGCCTCCTGGGTTTCAAATAAACACAGTGGAAGGATGGCTCATCTTCAGTTAGCCCTTATGACTCCTTGAAGGGAGAGTAATGGGAGGGCAGTGGTTCCCACCAGGAGTCCTGCTAGGGGTCCACGGCAGTACCAATGGGTGTGTGAATGGGAGTGGCCGTAGACATGGAAACTTTTCTCAGTATTTCCATAATCTGAACAAAAATTCTAATTGACCTAAAATAAGCTACCCAGACTAATGAAAGAGCTTTGGGTGGAATTTTGTGAAGTCTCATGCTGAGCCAGCACTGTCCAACAGAACTTTCTGCTACACATGGCTATTGAATGTGACTAGAGTAACTGAGGAGCTGACGTTTAAACTTTATTTAATTTTAATTAATTGAAATATAAATCGCCATGTGTGGCCCAGTGGCTACCAAATTGAACAGCTCAGCTTTGATTTATATCATTAGAATATCTCAAGTTAATTTTAAAAATAGGAATATGAATTATTAGTTGCTAAGTGCAGTTTCCTAGACAGTTTTTTCCAAATCCTTGATTTGGGAGCAAAGATATAATTCTGAAATTCCTGCTGGTTTGAAGGTCACTGCCATTCTGAGAATCAATATGGGATAGTGGGATTCTCTGTCCCAAATTCCCAGGGAGAGATAACTGTCACCAGAACTGCCCTGGATTAATTTCCAGGTTAATTCCCAGGCAGTGGCTAAGAACAGATGGGAGGGGCTAGGTAAGTTTCCAGGGAAGAAATCCTTTGCCTAGAAAGGTGACAAGGAATCCTGCTAGGGGTCTCTCTGCTGGGGGACAGGGAAATGGGGCAGCACAGACCGCAGCACGAGCCTCCTGCACATCTTCCGTACCCCTGTCCCAGTGCTGCCTGGGACTGAGAGAACCTGTGCTACGGCCCGCAGCCTGGCTCCACGGCTCCTGCTTCTTGGGTGAGAGGTGCTCAGGACATTGGGAAGAGACAGTGCTGAGTGCAAGAAAAGTCACAGCTGCCTGTTCCAGGTCTCTCTTAAGGCCCCTGTGGCCCCAGGTAGAGTAGGCCGTCATAGTGACTCGTGACATGCCAGGACCTTCTTTCCTCCTGCAGGGATGGGCCACAGCAGACGGCTCCGCAGCTTGGAGTTTTCACCAGGAGTTTGGCCAAGAAAACGGTGCATAGCTCAACCAACCAGGTCCTGCTCAAGTTCCACCGTGATGCGGCCACGGGTGGGATCTTCGCCATAGCCTTCTCCGGTCAGTATGGAAGCCTGGCCTGGTGGGAAGGGCCAGGCTCTCAAGTCGAGGCTCCACCATTCCTAGTCATGTGACTTTGAATGACTGACATAGCTTCTTAGCCTCAGTGTCCACAAAGTTGTAAGAGAGAAATGTGTTAGCCTGAGTGAAATCTCCTAGCACAGGGCTCCATAAATGTAAGTTTTCCTCCTCCTCCATACTGTTAGGGCAGAGAGGCACATGACGTTGATCCTTGGTGCCAAGTTCAAGCTTAGAGGCAACAAAGTGAGGCATCTCATCCCACTTGCTCACCTCAACTCACTGGCTGGCTGTCCACCTATCTGTGCCCCAGCTTGTCCCTTAGCATCTTCTAGAGGTTGTCCCACTCCAGAGGAATCCAGGGCCTCTGGACTTCATAGGAAATATTGTGCATAAATGAGGCTGAGAATGAAAGGTATCAAATCTTACTAAAACTATAAAAGAAAACATTAAGAATTGGCTAAATAAAAATTTAATATTTCTACAAATCAAAAGAGCACCATAAATAAATAAGGAAATGATAAATTGGGAAAATGCATTTAACAGGCAAAAGTCAATCTTAAAAATACATAGGGTTCTTCAAATTTTTAAGAAAAGTAGGGGCAAAGGACATGAATAGAGAGTTAAAAGGAGAAATGCAAATAATCTATTGATACATAAAAAATGTTTAACCTAACTAGTTATCAAACGCCAACTAAAAGAAAAGAAATGCTATGCTTTCTGTCGTTTATCAAGTTGACAAATACTAAGATTAATGACTATTTCCCCAAAGGGCCCTACATTTTGTGAGGACAAGGCCTGTGTGTGTTTACTTGTGCATCCTCAACAGCTAACGCAGGGTCTGTCAGACCAAGGGTGAGCCCTCAACAGAGGATCATTAAATGAATAGGATGGAAGAAGAATGATAGCTCCCCGTGTGGGAGACACTGATGCTCTGTTGACTGTATCTGTTGAAGCAGGTTTCCTAGAGAGAAAAATGGAAGCATGCATCAGATGCAGTCATGGTCCTCCCTGGTTTCTGTTAAATCCAGGTTAACCCTGCTTGGTTACCCCAAGAGTGTCTCTTGGTTTCAATACCCACACTTCATAAAGCTTATGTGGCTCTCAATACGACACATTTCAGCAGACACGACTGTAGAAAAAAATTAAAGTTAAATCCTCAGAACATAATATGATAGTTTTTTAAAAATTGTACTGCGGGAGAAGTCTTAAGCTACATTCCACTTAAAACTGGTAAAATGTCACAATCCCATGTGAGCATTTGGGATGTGCTTCCCGGCTACTGGGGCTCTGAGAGTTATCGCCGCGTATGCTCACTGTGGCGCTGCACCACCCAGTGCTGTGCTGGGTACATTCCCATGGTGTCGTTCATATTTAACCCTTTGTCCTGCCTAGGGTTTTACAATGTCTCAAGCCGAGAATGTTCCCATGAGGCACTGAATGCTTGTGGAGGATTTGCAAAGTGTATATGTTGCAATGCATGCAATCACTGTTGTGTCACAACTGCATTCATCATTGGGTGACCATGAAGTGATGTTTTAAGAATTTAGCTTCTAGCCCCGGCCAGTGTGGCTCAGTTGGTCGGGTGTCATCCTGTGCGCTGAAAGGTGCTGCTTCAATTACCCGTCAGGGCACATGCCCGTGTTGCAGTTGTAGTCCCTTGCAGGGGGCAGCTAATGGATGTTTCGCTCTCACCTCTGTTTCTTTCCCTCTCCCTTCCTCTCTCTCTAAAATCAATAAAAATATTTTAAAGGAAAAATAAAGAATTTAACTTCGAGCACATGGCTTGTTGCATATATATGCTTATTTTTTTTTAGTTTTAAATACTTTTTTGGATTTGGAGTTATGCATTATAATTTTTTCCCATTAAAGTAATGGAAAGTAGTCGCTTAGTTAGCACCTTTGCATGGAACATCTGGTTTCTAGGAATGCATTATTGACATTTAATAGGAGATGCCTGTACTTCATAAAGGTCATAAAATTTAATCACTCTTAGTTCAAAAAAATTAATAAAAGACGCACATATAGAAGGATGTTTATCACAGCTTTATTTTAAATGGCAAAATTTTATAAACCTAAATGGTTAACAATAGAGTATCTGTTAAATAAATTCTACTAGGCTGTATAATTAAATACTGTGCAATCATTTCAATCATGTTTTTTAAGAGATTTAATTACATGGGGAGTTCTTGAATTATACATGCACACAAAGATCAGCACAAAGTACATACCACGATGCAAATTTTATAAGAGAAAAATATTCATATCCACAGAGAATAAACACTCTGAGAACTTACAGTAAAGGATTAACGTGGTTATCTCTGTGAGGGCAATGGATGAATTTAATTTTCCTCCTACTGTTTTCACAGAAAATCTCATATTTTCTTTAATGACAGTGTATTACATTGGTAATTTTTTTTAAAAGAATGCTATTTTTAAGAAATATAGGGGTTGAGGTGACTTTGGAAATAATAACAGTAGTAGCAGCGGCGGCAACAGCTAACATTTACATAGCACCTAACCCTGTGCCAGGTAATGAATGAAAAATGAGTTATGAGCACACACCGAACTTTGCCTCACACACAATCCAGTCTCTGCTCAGAGGGATGGTTTCCAGTTTAGAAAATCCATGAAGCCAGAAGTGTTTAGGCAAAGGTCAAGGTAACAAGCTGATTTCGATGGGCACTCACATAAACCACACACAGTACTTAGATCGTGAGTAGTGGAAAGAATAGAGGGTTTGGGAGCAGCCAGACTTGGATTCAAATCCTACCTATGCCACTTACATCCTGGGTAACCTTGGAGGAGGATCTGAACCCTCTGAATCTCAGCTTACTCAGAGTAGAATAAGAACACCTCGAAGTGGGAACAGCTATTGTGAGAATTAAAGGTGTCAGCATGTGAAAGTGCCTGACATATGGTTGGCGCTCAATCATTGCTTCTCCCCCTTCCCTTCAGTGCTAGTGACTGTCACTGTCCTCCTAGATTCTCTCTCCTTGAGTATTAATCTTAACAGCAGATAAGCAGAACAGTGCTCGGTTAAATCTGTGCCGTGTACAGATATATACTCATTAATATCTGCTGTGTATGGGAATGAGGAGTGGGAAAGAAGTATTGAGTGGCTACGTGCCCCCCAAACTATGTTCTTACACGGACTTGTCTGCTTTGTCTTTTCAGCGTATCCACTCACCAAATGCCCTCCTCCCACCATCCTCCCCAATGCTGAAGTCGTCACAGAGAATGAAGAATTCAACATAGGTACCACCTCCCACACCATCGAGGAGGGGCCAGGTAGAGGTGGGGGCTGGCCAGCGGGGCTCATCTCTCCTCCTGTCCTTGGAGAGAAACAGTAGGCCCAGTGCAGGAGGGTTGGTATTCCATCAACTGAGTTTGCATCAAATATTCTCACTCTTGCTTTTAGCCACACCTGGGCAGAGAAGCTAGGAAACCGGTTTTTACTGTTATTTAAGTCAGTATGTTTTGGGGAAATAAATCCATGAAAAACACTATAAAAAGTTCTTGGGATGTTGAAACATTCTTAGGCTCAGCAAGGCTGAGCTGTGAGAGGGGAGCAGCAGTTGTCTGGGTCATTTGATTGGAGTTGAGCTAGTTATTTGAGCCTGAACAGAACACGACTCACCACTGAGAGTCTTGCCTGGAAGTGGGTGTGAGGTACTAAGGGTTGCTGATCAGCCCTGACCTCTCTGGGGAATCCTCATGTTACTCTCTCTTTGGCCAGGTGACATCGTACGCTACAGGTGCCTCCCCGGCTTTACCTTGGTGGGGAATGAAATCCTGACCTGCAAACTTGGAACTTACCTGCAGTTTGAAGGCCCACCCCCAATATGTGAAGGTAACGGCACTGAGCCATGCCCTTATGGGTCTGGAGTTCCTCCAGAGCGCAGTCCTGGTGCTACTCCTCTCTGTAGTCCCTGCCCAGGAAGGAAGAGGCCACATAGTGAATGTTTGTTTGGATGAGTGAATGAGTGAGTGATTGTTCTAGATAGTTTCTCTACCCTGCTCCTAGGTCCAGGGCAAGGAATTGGCCATATGGCCACATTTATGTCTGTCTTCTTTTTATCTAACTGGCATTCACTGGAAATGTCACAGTGATCAGTGGAAGGAGGAAGTTCTTGGGCAGGGGTGTGTTCACACACCAACCTTGCCCTACTGGAGTGAAGATATGCTCAAGGTTCTGTGCTGAATTAGGCAAATGAGAGCCCATATTTGTCTTGAATCCAGTGTGAAGCCTTTGTAGAAGATGAATTCACTTCACTAATTTATCCCAACTAAGACCAAAAATAATGCTCTCTACTCACTTGCACATAGTAACTGCTCAGTATTGGCTATTGTTATAATTACTAGTACTACTTCTGTTTTTAGTACTGTTACTACCAACAAATATGTGGTAGCCTATAGAGAAACAAGTCAGCTTCTCCCCTACCTCTCAGGAAGCAAGAGTAGGGTAAACTGCAGTGCGGATTACTAGTGAGAAGGAGAGGAGCCATCTGCCCCAGAATTAGGATTTCAGTAGCAGTTTCAGTTGAGCTGACCCACCCACCACCAAAGCAGCCGGCCCCCAATGAAAGTGAACTTTAGCCTTCATTCTGTCCCAGAACCTCTTTGGTTTGCTCCAACTGGCCAGGCCTGCATCTCAGTAACATGGTAACAGGGACACAGAATCTGAAGTCACCCCTTAGAATCAGCGGTATAATGACGGGTGCTGGGGTCTTGTTTGAATGTGCTCAGATACCGGCTCTCCGATGGTTGTCTTTGCACCAGGGAAAAGCACATGTGTTGGTCTAGTTCCTCCTCCGTCTCATGTACCTGGTATTTCTCTTTCTTTCTCCAAGTGCACTGCCCAACGAATGAGCTTCTGACAGACTCCACAGGTGTGATCCTGAGTCAGAGCTACCCTGGAAGCTACCCTCAGTTCCAGACCTGCTCTTGGCTGGTGAGAGTGGAGCCCGACTATAACATCTCCGTCACCGTGGAGTACTTTCTCAGTGAGAAGCAGTATGATGAGTTTGAGATATTTGATGGTAAGTCAAATACTTCCTCATGCCCCACTTCAGATGACAGCTTGCTTTGGAACCCTAGATGTCTATGCTGCATCATCCCAATTAGAGCTTTCCACAGGCCCCACATAATGTCTTCTCTACCACAGGAACCCCAATACCTTGGAAGCCGATGGGTTGTGTGGCCCAAGCAGCAGGGCTGCTTATACTGCAGCCTGGACCTGCTGCTGAACTCTTTCTCAGTCTATCCCTCACTCAAAGCTAGCATCTTGAATGTCAACCAATGAATGGGTCATAGCAGTACCACCCAGGGAAGACTATGCTACCCGCAAACAGCCAAAGGAGTCTACCGACCATCTTGCTTCTTTCTTGGTGGTGGGAAAGAAAAGGTGCAATAACTTGCTTTTTAATTTGGAGTAAATGTCTCAACATACCCCATTCCCCTGGACCCTAAAAATTTCACCTGAAACTTTGTAGGATTTATCACTTACCCTCTAGAGCATATGTGTCTTGCAAAGACAGCTGCACTAATTGTCCCTTCTGGCTCATCAGATCCAATTAATACAATGTCATCAATATAGAGCACCAATGTGTTCTATTCTGCAGGATGCCCAGATGGTCCACATCTCTTCATGCTGTATTATGCCAGAGACCAGGAGAATTAACATAACTCTGAGGCAAGACCATGAGTGTATACACTTGTCTGTTGCACATGGATGCAAATTGCCTATGGTCCTTCTTTCTGATGGGTGTGAAAAGGAATGCATTGCTAGATCAATAACTACATGTCATGTAACCAAGGCGATGTTAATCTGCTCTAACGAAGAGTAGATTACATCTGGCATAGCTACTGTAATGGAGGCTTCTACTTGGTTAGGTCTGTACTATGAGACCTTCAGCCATTTATTACCATCCCCACCTCAGACTCCCCTGCTCTAACAGAGGAGCCATGGTGGTGCTTTGAGTCCCCAGATATTGTGTATCCAAAAATCTTCCAACTATCTTGACATTCTCTTTTCTCCAATATTCAGTTATATGAGTAAATAGTGATAAATCTTATGGGGGGAAGAACTGAGAAAATCACTACTATATACAACTGATGTTGTTTTATAGAATCCTTTTTTATGGGCACCCAGCCTCTTCTTCAGCCAAAGTGTTCTGTAGCCAGAAATAAAACCTGGCACAAGTCTCCAAATTGGGAGATTATAACTTTCCACTGGGCTTAGCTTTCCTCACCCTTTTGATCATATATTCATGATCTGTTTTGTTCATATATTCATGATCTGTTTTGTTCATATATTCACTTATGTCAGCCACCCATCCATCTTCCATGTCCTGAGAGCCATCTTCATAGATCCTGCAGGTCAGGCCCTCCGACTGCTGTTCCAACCCTTGCTGTCCTTTTGGCAATTATTCCAACCTTGCTTCTTCTGACTATTAAGTGCTTCCACCTGGCCTCTGTATTCTAGAATCTTGTCATCCCCATCAGTAATCACTACTGGGAAGCCAGGTGCTGTGACAGCATCTCCTCCCATCAGTTGTGGCCTACAGAGGACTGTCTTTACTCAGGTGTTGATGATGCTGGTACTCACCCTCACCAGTGCGTTCTTTATGGCTTTAGGACTTGGCTCATCCTCCAGGTCCTCCTGAGAATGTGGGCAGCTGTTGGGTGTTCTGGTCCTACATAGATCTACAATGTCCTGGCATGCCATTCTCTGAGCCTTTTGACCTCTTCCTTCATGGGTTGTCCCCGCAGTTCTGATGGCTCAGTTTTGTTTAATGTGGCCCATGACTTTCGCCAAGCTTCCAAGAGCTGTCTCAGCAGCATGTTAGAACCATCACTCAAGGCTCTTTCCAGGGTGACAAATGCAGGGCATGGGAATCTCCAGCTTTATATTCTGCCTCCTGGAGTCAGCCCCTCAGGATGCACTCCCAGGCATGTAGGGAGGAAAAAGGAAGAGGGGGGCCTTTTTGGGAGAGTCTGGGAAAAGAAGGTGGGGAACTATGTTATTTGTGACATTGAGACCTGATGTTTCCTCTAGGTGCACTCATACATTCATCCGCAAATATTCTTTCTATATGGGAGGCACCAAGCTATTTTTAGTATGCACAAGAGAAGTGGGGTGGCACGGTGGAAGGAGTTCCCAGGGGAAAACCATCTCTTCCATGAGCCAGCGGCTTGACCTTGGGCAAGTTCCAGGATGGCAAATAGTTTTATCTGAACTGCCAACTACTGTGGATTGGCAGTGGCTCCCTGGAGGAAGGGCTCAGGAGGAAGGGCACCTAGAGCAAGACCTGGATGCAGAGAGAGAAGTGGAAGAACAAATGAGTTGCTGACTCTGACCAAGTTACCCAGCCTCTCCGAGCCTTCATGCCTTCATCTGAGGAGGGGGAAGTCGGAAGTGGTGACATAAAAGGGATCAACTCTAGTATCTTTGATGGCTGTCAGTCTGAAATCCCGTGTCCTGTGCTCTCACCCCAGGTCCCTCAGGACAGAGTCCTCTGCTGAAAGCTCTCAGTGGGAATTACTCAGCTCCCCTGATTGTCACCAGCACAAGCAACTCTGTGTACCTGCGCTGGTCGTCTGACCACGCCTACAACCGGAAGGGCTTTAAGATTCGGTACTCAGGTGAGTGAAATGTAAGGACTCGCGAGAATGGCCGAAGGCCATGAGCCCTTAAGTTTCTCACCCCAAACACCCAAATAAGCCATAGGCCTTACCTTCAACAATGACAGAGCTCCTCCATGGGATAGGCAGCCTTCTCCTCTGAGTCTCTCTGACCTGTGGCTGCACAAGTGCCCTGACATTTTCCCACCTCCCCTTTTCTGCTCCTTTCCCTTCCCTCTCATCTGCTGGCCCTGCCAGCCTGTGACTTTGGAGAAGCTTATTCCATGTATCTGATCTAATAATGCTGAAAGGTGATCACAGCCCTACCCCTGTTGAAATGCTAATAAAATTTCTTTAAAACTGAAAAACCCTAAGACATGGGTCTCCAACTGGCAAATGGTAGGCAGCCCAGAGATGAGCTGTATTTTCAGTCCAGGGGCCTCTTTCTGCTCTGCAAGCCATGTCTTCTAGGCAGAGTCAGAGCGAAGGCCATGCAGTCAGGTGGCCGACTGGGCAGCCATCTGCAGGGAGCATAGAAACATCCCTGAGATGTAAGGAGACGGAGAACATTGAATCTGTCTGAACCCCATGGTGGGGATCACTGTCTGCAGTTGGAAAGAAAACCTGATAAGCTGCTTGCTCCCCATTCTGAAGGGGAGTGGGTCCAGCGAACTGGGTTCTGTAGACTTGGAGGCAGAGACAAATTACTTAAGACCTGGGAGTCCCACCAGGCACCAGGTCCTCTCCGCACGCTTCCCCTGCCTGCATGTGGCCTGTATTCCAAATACATGTTGGACAAATTCTAAAAGGATATTGGTTAGAAAGGATGTCAAATTACAGCCCGCTTGAGTTACCACTTGTCTTAGTCCTTCTCTTCTCATGGGCTACCTACTTAGAAGACAATCCCAAACTTAGTGGGCCACTGACAGTCTTAAAGGACCCTGGGGTATGGCTTCAGGGACCAGCAAGACAGACAAAGCCAAGGGGAGCTGGGAGGGGAAGGGCTTTTACTGTCTGAGCCCATCTCCTCTGCAAAGTTGACCCGAACTTCCTTCCCCCCCATGTATGCAAGAGGGTGGCCCCACAAACACTGTCACTAACCAGCTGAGTGACTATTCGACACATCACTTAGCCTCTCCAGGCCTCAGTTGCCTCAGGACACAAAGAAACCTGAAGGTCCCCCTCAGGAAGAGTCAGGCTGAGTTCCTAGCAGCTGCTCACGCAAAAGGGAAACATAGCCATTGAGTAGCAGTTCATTATGCTGGTTGCTAAACTAGGAACTGAAAGCCATTAAGGAGTTGCCCTTTCCATGATGTCTTTAAAGACTAACCACATGTTTGGAGGTAATGAGTCCGTTGTAATTACAATACATACGCCAAGTACAAAATGAATTAATCACACGGTGAAGCAATTAGCACTTAATTAAAATACAGTAGACTTGTGTAATTTCAAATGCCTCTATCACTGTGATTAAGTCTATTGTATAACTGAGAGCCTTGTTCTTGACTGAGGTAGACACGTAAATATGATACACACAGGACTCAGGCGGCAGAGAGGGAGAGGGAAGCACGTCGGGCTTGGAAGGAGGGCATTTAAGACACATTCGCCAGCAGAAGGACACGAGGACCTCACCATGGGAGGACGTAGTAAGGGCCTGACACGCTCATTCCCCCTTAGCCCATGCTCCCCTGGGAGACCCAGCCAGGGACTCTCAGAGCAACAAGGGGCACTTCTCTGAGGACCCCTCAGCAGGGTCTTTGATTGCGAGTTCTCTGCGGCTGGGATTTTTGTCTGTTTCTCACTTGTTGTGTTCCCAGCACTTAGAACAGCACCAGGCACATAATGGACACTCCAGACCCATTTGTTGACTTAATGAATGAAATAACTTAGAGCCATACATTGAGGGGATCGGGACTGTGGGTTCTATATGCTGACTGCCCCAGCTCCCTCTCCCTCGCCCTCCAGGACAGAACAAAGGAGGAGGACCAGTTATTGAGCACTGAGCTGGGGGCTTTTACAAACACAATCCTATTTAAATGCCCAAAAACCTATGGGTAAACATGACCCATCCCAGTAGACAGGCGAGGAGACTGGAGATGAATGAGCTTCAGGAGCGTGTCCAAGTCAGACCCGACTGACTCCATTGGTTCTCTTTCTGTGTCTCTGGGAGTTGATGGGATTCGAGAGCCTGAACTTAGCTGCACAGCTAAGGCCGAGAAGGGGACCCAATGCTTCATGTTTCCTTTCCTTTTCCTTTTCCTTTTCCTTTTCCTTTTCCTTTTCCTTTTCCTTTCACTAAACTGTTTGGCCATTTTTCAGTATCAGCCACTCAAGACCACTCAGATAGCAGTGGACTTGGCCATGGGGAAGACAGGGAAGTGGGGGAAGAATGGGGACGGCGAGTAGGAAGGAGCGTGTCTGTCTGTCTTCCCACCTGTGCGTGGTCCCCTGACCTCCTCTTCTTGTTCAGCGCCCTACTGCAGCCTGCCCAGGGCTCCACTCCACGGCTTCCTCCTGGGCCAGACCAGCACCCAGCCCGGAGGCTCCGTCCACTTTGGCTGCAATGCCGGCTACCGCTTGGTGGGACACAGCATGGCCATTTGTACCAGGCATCCCCAGGGCTACTACCTGTGGAGTGAGGCCATTCCTCTCTGTCAAGGTGAGAAGCAGGTGGGAAGGGATAACAGGTGTCTCTGATCCTGCGCACATCTTGGGTTTGTCCCAGGTCCAATCATATCCAAATGCAGGCTTCCTCATTGGTAATTAATTCATCCTCTCAGGAACCATAGATTGAAGATCCACAATATCTTTAGCCCTGGGGATATGCATATGCATAAAGCACAGTCTCCGTGTCTTCAGAGCAAGAGGGAGATGGGATTAGCCACATAGATGCAAAGTGACCGAGGAAGGAAGGTCTGGGTCGGGAGTAGAAGCCACGTTGAAGAGCCAGAGGTGAGAAGGGACCGACCTCCTCCTGGACGGCTAGGGAGGCCTCCAGAAGAAGCACGCTTGGGATCGGGCTCAGAGAGCAAGCAGGTTGGGACCAGGCATTGGCAAGGAAACATGCTAGCCAACAGCAAGAGCATTTGTCAAAGCGCAGAACTGAGAGAAACAAGGCATGGGAACCAGTTGGGGTTGGCCGAAGCACCAGGTCGGAGAGGAGAGGAGAGAGGAAAAAGGGTGCAACAGTGTCCGTCACCATTCTCAGCCACCAGCCATCAGGCCTGCGATGTGCACCAGGCAGTTTGCATGTGTTGCCTTTGATGATTTATGGGATTATTTTTCCTTAAAGTAATATACATTCAGACTAGTAATCTGAAAAAAAAACACCTATAGATAATACCAAAGAAAAAAGTGAAAATGACCTATAATCCCATCAATTGAGATCACCACTGTTAACATGGAACACGTTTCTTTTCGTCTTTTATACATTGTTTGCAGAAATGGCACCATCAATATCCAAAACTCTCGATATTAACATCTATCATATATTCAAATGCACTTCCTCATCATTATTCTCAGTGGTTGCATAGCATTGTGGGAAAACTGACATTTATTCAAGTCTTTTATTGTTGGCCATTTGAATTTCTTTTTTTTTTTTTTTTGCTACTGTAAGTGCTGCTATTAAAATTTTTATAATTCCATTGTTATGAACATCCACATTTATTTCTTAAAATGAATTCCCCAAAATGAGATTGTTGAATCATCTACAGCTGTTGATACTTATTGCCCTCCTGAAAGTTGTCTTTTCTCCTACATTCTCATCATTATGTACCACATTAAAAACAGAAAAGACCCTTGCCAGTGATAGAGGCAAACACAGGAAATCACAGTGATGTTTTATGTTCTTGTTCTTTGGTCCCCAGCGTGGGCCACACTGTTTAATGATATCTCATCTCTGACCCTCTCTGCCTTCTGCCTGGGCCTGGGCCTTCTCAAAGACCCGAAACAATGTGTCATTAGAATTCTGTTTGATGCCCTAAGCAAAGGTCACGGAGAATTGACTGTCCACAAGTGGCAAATGGCACTTGGCTTGGTCTTCCCGTTTCTAACTGTATCGGGCATCATCTTTTTCCACAGCTTTTATTGAAACTGACCATTGTCTCTCACGTCTTTTATCTTTTGTCACTTCCCCGAATTAAGCCCCTCTAGGCTCTGTCCACTCATCCTCATACTGCTCTGTGCTTCTCCCCATCCCTACCCAAGCTTCCCTTTGCCGCCCTCCCTCCCAGCCATTCCCTCGGTGCTCTCTGGATTCCTGGCTCTGTGGCCAACAAGCATACACCCTTGGTCCCTTCCCAGAGGGCTCTGTTCACTTCCTCCCTACACAGAGACCGTGGCTCTCCTCTGAGAACAGGGATGCTGTGTCCCTTTCCAGAGGTGCGTGTCAGCAACCATGTCCCGCATAGCCCAGGGCGTTCTTCCCGTTCGCCATTGCTTCTTCCAGACCAGGACTTCTCCACCAATAACTAATCCCATTTAAAGAGTCAATGTTTCCTACTGTTTTCTCTCCCCTCCCCAGCCCATTCTCTCACAACATATTCTCTCCCTTAGGGATATTATTCCACCACAAGTTCCACATTCTGTCCTCTCCTCTCTGACCCACAGGAAGTGTCCCTCTTACCTGGGTTCTGGGGAACTGTGTTTTGACATGGAGATCAGGAAACAGGCTTTTAGTCGCTCAGGCTAGAAGTTACCTTTTGTCTTCTTGGTTATCCACAGGAGAAAGGCAGGCCGGGGGCAGAGGGAAGTGGCTGCTGCCCGCTGCCTTCCCTCGCTGCCTCCAGATTGACTCCCCATGCAAAAAGGCAGTGGGACTCCAAATGTTTCTTCCCGAAAGGTTCCAGGAAACAAAGCAGTCGGTTGAAAAGATATGACAGTTTCGCTAACCCGGTACCATTGAAGGAGCTTGGCTGGCTGTTCTGGCATTGAAAGATCATCATATTCAAATGCTCCCTTACTTCCTCATTCCTTCCATTCCTGACCCTCCTCTTTTGTCCAATCTTTGTCCACATTGAATCTTTGAATCATTCCTGTCTTGGTATTTTAACCCCACTCCCTCCGGACAGTCCATCCTTCTCCATTTTATTACCATATGGCGTCCTTGCCCTATTCCTCTTCTTGGTTCTAGAAATTCTAGTAGCATCGGCATCATCATTAGCCAGTGTGAATGGGATTTACTTCTGCTTGAGCTTCTTCGACTCTGAGGGAAGGCGGCCTCAGCTCTAGACTAGTTGCAGAAGTAGGGGTGGATGAGGGACAGTAGTGGGCACCCTGATTAGTATCACATCTGTAAGAGCTCCTGAACTGTCAAGGGGCAAGCAGGGCTTATAAGTATTCATTTCTTTCAAAGACCACACAAGCTACTCTTGCCTGAGTAATGTATGTTTCTCCCATAAACATCGTGTTGCCCCTGCTCCTTATAAAACATTGATCTTGTTCATGCCCAGCTGTCATCTTGATATTTCTTTTCTTCATACTCCTGAGTTAGCGCTATCATTGTTTATATCTCACATCTTGCCCTTTGTTGGTTTTTATACTCTTTTTGATGGAGTATATAGCCTTAAGGAAATTCCTCTAAAAAGGTTCATGAGAGATGAATGTTATAAGTCTTTAAATATCTGAAAATATCATTATGTTTACCCTCACACATGCTAGGTAGGTTGACTGGCTAAAATTATATGTTAAAATAATTTCCTTCAGAAATTTAAAGGTGGTGTTCTGTTATCTTTGGACATCCATTGTTGCTGATGGGAAGTCTGATGATGAGCTGATTCTCATTCCTTCACAGGGATGTTCTCTCTCTCTCTCTCTCTCTCTCTCGCTCTCTCTCGCTCTCTCTCGCTCTCTCTCCTTATAGGAATTTCTCCGTCTTTGGTCTTCTGAAATTCCATGACAGTGAATCTTAGAAGGTTCTCTTTGCATCCCTTTGGCTCCCTTTCATTCTGGAGACTTGTGTGTCTCTTCAGCTCTGGGAAATTTCCATCTGTGATAATTCCATCCCCTCCACTTGCTCTGTTCTCTCTTTCTGGAACTCTGGCCCATTAGATGTTGGATCTCCTGGATTGGTCCTCTGTGCTTTCAGCCTTTTCTAATCGTTTTTAGTTTTTGTCTTTTTGGTCTATAGTCTCAGAAAGTCCCTTTCATTTTAATCTCCAACGCTTCTATTGAATGCTTATTTTGGTTATCATATCTTTTAAAATAAAAGACCTCTTTCTTGTTCTCTTTTTGTTCTTTTTTTTCCCAAAGCACTCTGTTCTTGTGTAACAAATATAGTATGTCATCTTGATTTTCTCAAGATACACTAGCCAGAGCTTAAAGATTATATATCTTCAATTTCCTGAGTTAGCTCTGTCTCCTCAGGGAGACATTTCCCCCTGTTTTCAATCTTATATTTATGTGTTTTGTGCTGCTGTTTTTCTTCATATGTATAGTGATCCTTGCTTGTCCATATTTTAAAGTAAAAGCTAGGTTGATTTTTTTTCAGGCAGCAGATGTGAGCTACCTTTGTTGTTAATACATATAGATATCTTCGCCCACCAGGTCTCCCCTATGAACAGGAAGTTGAGCTGAGTATGCTGCAGAGATGAGCAGGCAGAGGGGCAGCCTGTAGGCTGTGAGAGCCCTTCAGTCCTAGAATTGAAAGAGCTTTACGCTGGGGTGCCAACTCACACCGCAGCAGCCTTAGTTCTCTCAAGGGAGTTTTTTGGGGGGTTTTTGGTTTTCAGTTTCTGTTTGTTCTTGTTTGTTCCTCAAATGGGAGAGAAAACCCTCTCTATTTAGTTTGAAGAACACACGCCTGAGTGCCTCTGCACTGTACTCGTGGGAAGGGACAGAGAACCCGTCTCACCCCATAGCTCCCTCCCATGTATCATTTTGGTCTACAGAGTCTTGGCACCATTTAATCCAGCAGAACACTTCTAGCTACACTTTGTCTTCCGAAATTCTTTTTGAACTCTCCTCTGCTGGTGATCCTCATAATTTTTTTGTTGCTAAGAATATTTTTCCACCCTAGCCGGTTTGACTCACTGGATAGAGCGTGGGCCCTTGGACTGAAGGGTCCCGGGTTTGGTTCTGGTCAAGGGCATGTACCTTGGTTGCAGGCTCAATCCTCAGCCCCAGTTGAGGCACATTCAGGAGGCAACCAATCAATGTGTCTCTCTCACATTGATGTTTTCTCTCTGTGTGTTTCTCTCCATCCCTTTCACTCTCTCTAAAAAAAAAAAAATCAGTGGAAAAGTATCCTCTGTTGAGGATTAACAACAACAACAACAAATACGATTTTTCTTTTGTTAGTATTCATTATAATTTTACTTATACTAAGGTGTCAGGGGAGAAGAAAGGTAAATATGTTCTCAGAACACTACTTGAATCAGACATGGTCATGACCTTCTTTCCTTTGCTAGCTCTTTCCTGTGGGCTTCCGGAGGCTCCCAAGAATGGAATGGTGTTTGGCAAAGAGTACACCGTGGGGACCAAGGCTGTGTACAGCTGCAGCGAAGGCTACCACCTGCAGGCAGGTGCCGAGGCCACCGCAGAGTGTCTGGAGACAGGCCTGTGGAGCAACCACAACGTCCCTCCCCATTGTGTCCGTGAGTCCTTGGGCAGGGGAGGCAGGTGCAAGGAGGGCTGGGTAAGGAGCTAAAAGATTCCTGCAAGGAGTGAGCTAAAGACCCAGTGATGGGAAGAAGCATGAACATGGAGGTTGGGGATTCAGGGAGCAGAGACAGGTGAATAGTGTCATCTACCAACTTTTTGAAAATAATTTCAAGTCATTGATAACCATTGCACCCTGAGTTGCTCCCATAAAGCACCATAGAATTTAGGAGTGACCTGCTCCACTTCCTTTTAGGTGGAAAAACTGTAAGACCGTTTGCACGAATGTACTTTGATCACAAAACTCTAAAATGGCAGAGGTACAGTTCAAGTTTAAGGCCAAAGTCATAAAGTCACAACTAAATGGGCCGTGTGTCTTTCTTTTGTTTTGTTTTGTTTTGTTTCTTTGGCCTATAGTATGATTTATAAAAATTACTCGTTGCCCTCCAGCACTTTAAAATCAGGAAATTTTATGTAAAAATTCATATTTGTAGCTTTTCTTTAAAAATGAAGATCTGACCAAATAGAACTTGCAGCCTCACATCTGACAGTCAGCGTTGACCGAATACCACCTCCCCACATTCACCACATTCCCACCCAGCCCAGTTCATGCATTACCAGACCTGCCTGGGGACTGGAGACTCTTGGATTCATTATTGTCTGCCAGTCCCCAGCTATGGACTCGTGCCAGTGTATCTTACACAATTAATTAATGAATCCTCCTCATCACTCCTTGTCTACCCAGCTGTGACCTGTCCCGATGTCGGTGGCATCGGGGTGGAACACGGCCGATGGAGGCTCATCTTTGAGACGCAGTACCAGTTCCAGGCCCAGCTGATGCTCATCTGCGACCCTGGCTACTACTACACTGGGCAGAGGGTCATCCGCTGTCAGGCCAATGGCAAATGGAGCCTCGGGAACTCCATGCCCACCTGCCAAAGTAAGCCCAGGACGGGAGGGTGGGCAAGTTTGGCTCAGTGCCTCCTACCTGAACTGTCTCATGCGTAGGGAAGGGGAGAAGAGGAGTATCACCTGAGATTACAATGTACCCCTTTTTTAACACACACCTAGAATCAGGAGCCGGGGAGATGCTTACTACTTTAAGGAAATACTTCTTAGCATCTTGTCATCTTATTAAAGAGCTGCCTTTGGCCAGGTGAGCATCCACTAATTTATTATTCAGCACTCATGCCAGGTACTAAAGAGTTATGAAGATACAAGTTTGTGGTTCCTGCCCGCAAGGAGCTTGTCATCCACTGGAGAGGGAGACAGATAAAGACGCAGTGATAATGGGGCGTGAAAAGACCTGGAAGGGGAGTGTGTGCAGGAGGAATGGGCATAGCACAAGGGACAGGCCACATAAGTCTGTCTGCTGCAACTTCTCCATGGCAACCTGTTTTTCTTCCGTTCTTCACAATAGTTTCAAAATTCAGGGCCTCTGGGAAGCCACTCTAGGACAGAGGTTTATCAGGGAGTGCTCCTGGGACCCCTCCCTGTGGAAGGGAAGGGAACGGGACTAGGAGGCAGGGGAGTGGGCTCTGGTACAGCAGTGGTGAAGGTCTCAGCCGACCCACGGGGAGCTCTGAAGCTGGGGTGGCCCTTCAGAATTGTCACAGTTGTCCCACGGGGCCTTTGTACCTCTACCCTGACTAAGCATTAGGTGCAGGCTGCTACAGGGAGAGAGCACGTCTTTAGGTGGGAGGACTCTTCACCCAAGGCAACCTGAAGAGGGCCAGCAGCTGAGGGTCCGTGCCAGCAGCTGGGGAAATAGATCCTTCCACCCCGAATGGGGTCTCTGTGGCTCACCGCAGCACCCACGACAGTGGAGTGCACTCATGACATTTACCTAGTCGATAAGGACTGTGTTTGTAAAGGAAGAGGTGAAGATAGCCTGTCAGTGAGCCCTGGGAAGTTCGAGACTGAGAGGAATGGTGTCTTCCCAACACCTGTGACCCAAGACACTGTTGTCTTATCAGCCAAGTGCAAACTCCATGGTAGAATATAACCATGCATGTGGCCAAGTAGGAGTCATGAGCCTGAAACAGCCGATGACAGTGAAGGGGCTCACATTCTTTTTTTTTTAAATATATTTTATTGATTTTTTTACAGAGAGGAAGGGAGAGGGATAGAGAGTTAGAAACATCGATGAGAGAGAAACATTGATCAGCCGCCTCCTGCACACTCCCCACCGGAGATGTGCCCGCAACCAAGGCACATGCCCCTGACCGGAATCGAACCCGGGACCCTTGAGTCCGCAGGCCAATGCTCTATCCACTGAGCCAAACCGGTTAGGGCGGGGTTCACATTCTAACGCAGCCTTGGCTATTGGGTCTCACCCCATATGCCAGCCGGTGACTTCCTGCAGTGCTGAGCTCAGCAGAAATTACAAGGAAATTGATCTGCAGTGTCTGCTGAGAACACCAAGGAGCAGGCCACTGAATTGCTGTTTCTCTAGTTGGGTGGTTCCTCAGTAGAGTGCACATCTGACCACCTGACTTTTTATTTTTTTAAAATATATTTTATTGATTTTTTACAGAGAGGAAGGGAGAGGGATAGAGAGTTAGAAACATCGATGAGAGAGAAACATCGATCAGCTGCCTCCTGCACACCCCCTACTGGGTATGTGCCCGCAACCAAGGTACATGCCCTTGACCGGAATCAAACCTGGGATCCTTGAGTCCGCAGGCCGACGCTCTATCCACTGAGCCAAACCGGTTAGGGCGACCACCTGACTTTTTAAATGCACGTGCCTGGGCCAGAGGTCGTGAGTCACGGGTGCAGAGTGCAGCCTGGGCATTTTTAAAGCTCCTTGGGTGCTTCTAGCAGCACCTCAGTCGAGAAGCCCTGCTCCAGTGCAACATCACACAAGGCACAGTCATGACCCATATTCCAGTCCTGAGTCCCAGCAAAGTAAGGCTAGAGTAGACAGATCCTCTTTTTGGCATATTCTTGCTAATCAGGAGCAGCACGAGTCCCTCCTCTTCAACCAGGCAACCTGAAGAGGGCCAGCAGCTGAGGATCTTTGCCAATAGCTGGCTTACCAAGCATTTTGTTATCCTTTTAGTCATCTCCTGTGGAGAGCTCCCCATCCCACCCAATGGGCACCGCATCGGGACGCTGTCCGTCTACGGGGCAACAGCCATCTTCTCCTGCAATTCTGGATACACGCTGGTGGGCTCCCGGGTGCGGGAGTGCATGGCCAACGGGCTCTGGAGTGGCTCTGAAGTCCGCTGCCTTGGTAAGCGACCTCCCCAGGCCTAACCTGCCCTCTCTTCCCTCAGGACAGGTTACATCTTTCCAAAGTGGGATCCCAGTCTTAGAACAGTACCGTTTTACCTACTTCCCTAAAATGCCTAATCCAAACACCAGCTATTGGGCATCCACCATGACTAAAATCCTAAACTAGCTTCTCTTGGGGCACCCAAAAGAATGAGAACGATTTAAAGTCTGAAGAGACAAGTCTTTGAGGGGCTCTCATTCTGCTCAAACACACTGCCCCTTCTTATTGGCCCCTGAATGATGGGGGAAGCCCGAGTCTCCACCTGCAGGGCAACGTACAGAGACATAGCCCTGTGACAGACCTAAAACACCTTATATATGATGTAGTAGCAAATTTATATGTATATGTATTTTACATATATAATACAGAAATATATTTCGGTTACTTGCTTATTCTATACCTTATATATATAAAATGAACAATGTTAAACTCATAAAGAAATGAAAAACCTGGCTTACAAAGAACCAAGTCATTATTTCCCGCATGGTTCGCTCATCCCCTGCCTAAACCTTAGACTAAGGTTCTCACTCCTCTCTTGGACACCTCAAGTGCAAAGGAGGGTCCCAGCTGCATAGCATAGGTTGGACAGTCTGTTCCAGAGTGCCCCGTGCTTCCCTCCCACTGTCTCTGGCCCGTGTCGTGTTCACACAGAGCCAAGGATGCGAGTGGAAATACTAGGAGTATGCTCTACCCAATCCCCATTGAATAAAGATAACGCCCCTGGGTTGACATCTTCTGTGTGCCTTGCCACTCAAGGAGAAGGAAGAATGGATTTACATAGTTATTCTCTACACAGCCAGGCTTTGACTGCCTCACTGTAGACCACTGTGCCCTCCATTTGGTAGATGCTCAGTTGATGAGAAAAAATGGGACCAGTGTGTGTGTGTGTGCAGGGAGGTAACAGTGATAATTTCTCACCTGCATCTAAACACAGAAACTAAGGGTCCGACATGGGTGGTCATATGGGGTGCAACCTTGAAATTTGGGTTGCCAAGTCTTCAATGCCATTTCTATCACGTCTAGGCTGCCTGAAGTCACTCCTGGTCGGCTACTCTCAGGGGGAAGTGGGAAAACAATGGGTGGTTGGGTAACTTGGTCCTTTTCCCCACCATCCCTGTCTCCCCCAGCCCTGACCCAGCCCCACCTCACTTTCTGTCAGTTCCTCTTTGATTTACACTCTTTCCCTGTCCCCCATCAAAGCCGGACACTGTGGGACCCCTGAGCCCATTGTCAACGGACACATCAATGGGGAGAACTACAACTACCGGGGCAGCGTGGTGTATCAGTGCAACGCCGGCTTCCGCCTGATCGGCATGTCCGTGCGCATCTGCCAGCAGGATCATCACTGGTCGGGCAAGACCCCTTTCTGTGTGCGTAAGTATGTTACCCACTCTCCCTAGTCATGGGCTCAGATTCAACATGGACTTCCTCCCTTGTCCTCTTGGTTAGGTTAGCAGAGGTGTAACATACTTTTTTTTAAATCCTTTATTGTTTAAAGAATTACATATGAATCCTTTTTCCCCCATTGACCTCTCCCCACTCATTCCCACCCCCACCCCCCAGCACAAGCCCTCACCCCTCTACTGACTGTGCCCATGGGTTATGCTTATATGCATGCATGCTTTTTACAAAGATGCAATTATTACTTTGAATTTTCTGCATATCACTAATTATTGCTTTCACCTTTATTATTTCTTCCCTTGTGATTTCTTTGGGTTAACGTTTTTATTCATTTTTTTATCTGTTGAGTTGGGAATTTAATTCACTTATTTTCATTCCTTCATTTTTATTGCATGTCGTGGATATAAGTATGTAGGACTATGAAATTTCTTCTGGTCACTATTCTAATCATATCCCATAGATTACAATAATTCATGTTTTATTATTTATCAGAAATTTTGCAATTTTAGTATTAATTTCCCCTTTCACCCAGAAATTTTTATATAGAAGAGTATTTTTTTAATTCCGGTGAAGGATCTTTTTACTTTTTATTGTTTTATTTAGTTCTAATTTTATTGCATTGTACATAATATTCTATTTCTTAGAATTTACTGATGATCTCTTTGTGGCTTAATATTTGATCAGTTGTTATGAGTGTCCCATGTACATTTGAGAAGAAAGTATATTAAGGTGTAAATTTCTTATATAGTCATGAGATGTGCCTTATTGATTATGTTGTTTATGCCTTATGTACACTTATTTTTTTGTCCGCTTGACCTATTTTGTTCTGAGAAGTGTGTTTTAAAGTTTTCTATTATTAGTGTGCTTCTATCTATTTCTCCTTGCATTTCCTGTATTTTATGCTACATACAGGTAGTCGCTGTATTATTTGGTGTGTAGATATTCATAATTATTATATCTGCATTATAGATTGTGGTTTTAGCCTTTAAAAATGCCTTCCCTGTCACTTGTAATATTTTTTATTTGAATTGTACTTGTGCCTGATTTTAGGCTTATAGTATTTACTTTCATCCTTAACATCACAAACACCATTTTGTTCTTATAACATTTTAATGCCATTAGCTTTCACGTATGGACTATACAATAATCAATGAGCCTGTTCTGCTTCCCGGTCCTCACTCCTTTCCCCTTCCATCTTTCGTTGCATTATTTCTACTTTGTCAGAACTTAAAAGGTTTATTATAGTGATTATATAATATCACTGTGCCCTTCTCCCTACCTTCATTTTACTCCTAGGTCTACCATTAAATATATGAAAAGCTCACCAATGCAGCCGAAGTTTGCTCAGTTACCTCCTAGCTGGATCAAGCTGAGTCTCTAGTAGATTCCTCAATAATGCCTCCTTTGCATAATGTTCCCCAAGTTCTTGCTTGTTTAAAACTGTTATCTGAACCTTAAAACCTGAAGGATAGCTGGATTGTACATAAAATCCTTGGTCACTATTCCTTTCTTTGACTTTCTGAAATACCTCTTGGTAAATTACAATTTCATAACATCCTCTCTCTTATAATTTAGTCTTTCTTTCTGAGGTAATTTTGTCTTTTTCTCCACTTCTTTCCAGCATGTCATCAATTACCTTTTAATTTTCTCCCATGTTTTCTCCATGTCTTGCTTTAGGTTATTTTTATTTTCTGATTCTTAAGATGGTTTTTCATATCTCCAAATGCTTATGTATTAATATTTAATTAAGTTTAGAGTGTTGTTACAGTTTTCTTATGTTTCATGTGTTTTGTTTTTGATGAGGAGATTTTCATCAACCGAGATGTTTTGATTTCTTTCTATTTTCTTTTTATCATAGTTCTGTATAGATTTAGGCTGATGTTTTCTATTCATTTTGTGACTTACCGAAGGTTTACAAAAGTCCCCCTTCGGTCAATGTAGCAGAATATGATTGCTTTGTCTTAAATTTATTTTTCATTTAAGTATAGTTGGTAAACAATCATATATTGGTTATATTAGTTTCAGGTGTACAATACAGTGATTTGACATTTTTATATTTTACAAAGTGATCACCCCATTACTTCCAGTAATAATCTGTCACCATGCAAACTTATCACAATATTATTGGCTATATTCCGCTTCCCCTTCCAACCATCCCCTCCTCCCTTTTGGTAGCCATCCCTTTGGTCTTTGTTTCTGTGAGTCTGTTTTTGTTTTGTTTTTCTTGTTTGTTTGTTTGTTAGTTTGTTTTTGGTCTTGTTGGTTTTTTTTAGATTTCACATACAAATGAAAACATATTTGTACTTGGGTTTGGTACTTGTCTTCCTCTGCCTGACTTATTTCATTTAGTATAATACCCTCTAGATCCATTCATGTTGTCACAAATGGCAAGATTTCATTCTTTTTTATTGTTGCATAATATACCATAGAATATATACATCCTCTCCTTTAGCCAAGCATCTATCAGTGGACACCTAGTTGCTTCCATATCTCAATGCAATTTCAACATCATTCTTCTCAGAACTAGACTAAATATTCCTAAAATTTATATGGAGCCACAAAGACCCCAACTAGAAAGATGAATAAAGTTGGAGATACCATGCTTCCTGATCTCAAACTATATACTACAAAGCTATAATAATCAAAACAGTATGGTATGGCACAAAAACAGACATATAGATCAATAGAACAGAATAGAGAACCCAGAAATAAACCCTTGTTTATATGGTCAAGTAATCTATGACAAAGAAAGTAAAAATTTACACTTGTGTAAGTAATAACAGTATCTTCAGCAAGTGGTGGTGAATAAACTGGACAGATACATGTCTTGTTTTTTAATCGAAGGCTTTCTTGTGTTTGATAAGGGAAAATTGTTTGTCCTCCATTTTGTTTGTTTGCTTTTCTTTTGTCATTGCAGGACCTTAAGTTTCCCCCTTTTTGTTTATTTTTCCCTTTGTTACCCAATCTCCAGAGGATAGCTCTTCTCTACCTCTATCTCCCTCCCCCTCTCTTCTCTCACTTCCTTTATCTGTTTACCTTTCTTTTCTCCTAGAAGCAAGGAGGAGAATCACACTCTCCTGCCCCTTCCCTGTAGTCAGTGCACCCTGACGTCCCAGACCCTTCTTCAGGATGTCCGTACTGAAGATGAATGTCCTGATTCTAGCAGTGATTTTAGAGCAGGATGTGGCCCTCCCCCTGCCTCTCTCTTCTCTTCCCGGCAGTCTGGGTCTCCACACAGGCTTGCATCAGCAGCATGAGAAATACTTCTGCCGGGGTTTCCTGTTTGTTTTTCTCCTTACACATAATTTAAAGTTTATAGCGTTCTCTGTCTTCTAGTTATGCTGCAGGCCTGCTTTCTACAGTTTTATTTGTTCTTCTTGATCATCTGCATTTTTTTGGATTAGGTGACCATCATTTTTCTCAGCTGCCTTGAAGTAATTCGGAAAATTCTTCACTTTTTAATGCTCCCTAAAGTAAGCCTTTGTGTAAAGTGCAGGGCTGTGTTCTTAATTTTTGTAAGGCCAGTTTTTGTTTTTAATTCTTTTTCTTCATTTGCCTTTCTGTATATGAGATGGAGCAATAAAATAATGAGACTTACTCAGTAAGAAATTCATGAAAGTAGGTCTTAATAGCTTCTAAAGGATTAAGTTTACCAAAAGCAAGGCCCATCTCTACTCACTTTGTCTTCCAGATGTGCATAAAGAAAACATATTTGGTTTCATTCAGGAGAAAAAAAACTTCAAATGCCTTCAAGAAATTGGCACAGAACGTGTGTGAATAGATTGAGTTATAAAGAATAGAGAATGTTGGTGTCTAGAATTAAGTGGAGAATGTCTGCCTGGCCTGAGGATATGTTAGACCTGGTCCACACGGAAAGGCTGTAGAGTAAAGTATTAGACAGGCGGACCCTGCCCTTAGAGCGCCTGGGTTCGTATCCAGGTCTGTCGCCATATGTCATACGGCTGTATGACTTCAGATGAGTTGGTTTACCTCACAGGGTCTCAGTTTTCTCATCTATAACATACAGACACCTCAAAGGATATTATGAGAAGTAAATAAATTAATACATATGAAATGGTCAGAACAGTAAAAAAAATAAAGTGATTAGAATAGTGACTGATAGAGATGTCAAGCAGAGGCTGCTGCTGTTATTGTTGTAATGATGACAGTGATGGTGGTGCTGGTGATGCCACCACCTGTCACATCACAGAATCCAGGATCTTATGTCCCAAGCCCCATTGTCTCCAGGAACACAGAAGTTTGGGGAGTATCTGGAACAGGAAAGAACAAATATTTATAAGTGACTACTCTGTGGTAGGCACCGTGTTAGTTGTCTTCACATATGTACTCAAGTTTCCAATATCAACCATCTTCAGAGCTTTCCAGCAATCCTTCCTCAGTTCCAGAGTTAGCTCTCGTGCCCACCCCCACACAGCTGTTCCGCAATGTCACCTTTTTTCCGAAGAACCACACTCCATCTCCTCCACCTGTGTTCTCAGCAAGTAGCTAAAGCAGTGGTTCTCAACCTTCTGGCCCTTTAAATACAGTTCCTCATTTTGTGACCCAACCATAAAATTATTTTCGTTGCTACTTCATAACTGTAATGTTGCTACTGTTATGAATCATAATGTAAATATCTGATATGCAGGATGGTCTTAGGCGACCCCTGTGAAAGGGTCGTTCGACTGCCAAAGGGGTCGCGACCCACAGGTTGAGAACCGCTGAAAAGCAGAGTTAAGATGGCCTGAAATCAGAGAAGCTGGATTCAAAACTCAGCTGAAACACTAGGAAACTGTGTCCCTATTTTCCCTTGAGGATAATGATGGTGCCTACCTCACAGGGCTGTAGGATTAAATGAAATAATGTATTTAAACCCCAACAGTTATTAGCCACCTATATAATCTCACTTTCTATTGTGCAGCAATAATAGAAGCCATCAGATTAACTCCTTCCCCGTCCTGCTTCCCCGCCCACACACCTGCCCTTGTCTTCATTCATCCTTGCCCCTTCCTCTCACCTCAGTAGAAGACTCTCCAGGCCCAAGGCTGTGCCCTCCACTGAGTCTTTGGGTCTTCTTTCCTCCTGCCTCCTTAGTGAGCTTAATCGGTTTTTGCCTCTCTACTGCTGATCTTCCCTTTCTATTAATTTCCCTCAGCCTGTAAGACTACATTCAATAAACATTTGTACTATGTGCCAGACATGTGAGTAAGTGTTGAGGATAAAGATGAATCGAATGTGTCATAGTCTCTGCTCTCAGGATATTTGGCTCTAGTGGTCCATGTGCTCAAGCGCAGTGAAGCGCTCGAGCCTCTGGGGGCCTGTTTTCCTTCCTAGTGGTGTTTCTCCCTCCCCCCTTTGCAGCCTGGGTTCTCCAGGAAGCAGACCTATCTGGGTGCCTGACATTTCTTGAGACTCCCCCTGGTTCCTGTGACACTCCCACCTCCTGTCCAGCTTGTTTTTCTACTTTGCTAAGGGCCCTTCAGTTTCCTTTGCAGGTGTTTTGGTGGATCTGCCCTTCAAAAGGTGCTACTCCCAAAGGTTTTTGTCCTCAGCACTCGTCTCTCACTTTATATGAGTGGTGTTTAACCTTGGGGAGGGGGTCCTGACCCCTTGTGAACCTGGTGAGAATGAGGGGTCCTCTCCCAAGCTGACTGCGTACACCTGGTACTTCACATAGCCTTTCAGTGGGTCTGTGAACCGTCTCTCCCACCATCTGCTAACAACTCTGGGTCCCTGGGGTTGGCCTAGGTTACTGGTCTAGCGGAGTGACCGATCTGTTCAGGCTTGGTTAGTAGTGACTCTGTCCTGTCAAGATAGGCCCGGGAACTAGGGTGGGTCTCTATCAGCTGAGGGGCAGTCATCAGTGTACCTAGCAATGAAGAGTGGAGATGGGGAGCCCCGGGGATGAGAGGCAGGACTGTGTTCCTGGGTGACAGAGAAATACAATCCAGGCCTCTCACCCTGTGGAGAGTCATCAGATGATTTCTCTCCAGTTGTCCAAGCTGTAGGCATGCCTTCAAGGAAGAAGGAATGTCCCCATGAGGATTTCAGGAAATAAAGATTCTGCAGCAGAAGAGACTAAAGTTAGACTTATGGCTGAACTTCACTGATGGGCATGAGACATGCCAGGTGAGAGGAGGATGAACTTCTTGGGATGTGCAATAACAGGAGGGCTTACCTATCTTCTGTTTTGGTTACAGCAATTACCTGTGGACACCCAGGCAATCCGATCAATGGCCTCACTCAGGGCAACCAGTTTAACCTCAACGATGTGGTCAAGTTTGTCTGTAACCCTGGCTATGTGTCTGAGGGCGCTGCCGGGTCCCAGTGCCTGGCCAACGGGCAGTGGAGCGACACGCTGCCCACCTGCAGAAGTGAGTCACCCTGCTCCTCCCACTCACCCCAGGACCTCTGCCATCTGTGGTCCCCCAACGTGAGAGCAAAAGCCCTTGGATTCAGTCCTGCCGTCATGTTGACTCGATAGGGAAGACTGGGGACAGAGAAGGGTCATAAATGGGACTTCCTCAACCCCTAGATGCATCTGTGGAAAATTTCATCATTGGCTACATAAAAAGAACAAACGAAGTTTCACCTGTCAAAATAGCAGTCAAAAACAATCTTTTTATTATTATTATTATTTCTTTTATTTCAGTGAGGAAGATAGAGGGAGAGAGAGATAGAAACATCAATGATGAGAGAAAATCTTTGATCAGCTGCCTCCTACATGCCCCACACTGGGGAATCAAGCCCACAACCCGGACATGTACCCTAACCAGGAATTAAACTGTGACCTCCTGGTTCATAGGTCGACGCTGAACCACTGAGCCATAGTGGCCAGGCGAAAATAATCTTTTTGTTTACATTTTGTAAACCAATAATTCATCACATAGAGCCCCATTTTTTATGACAAAAAAAGCAGAAGGGTTTGAATGGAAAATAAAAAGCAAATAGTCTATGGTTTGGGTTGAAGCAGGGGAGGCGAGAGAAGGGGCAGATTCTGCATAGAGGATATTTGGGCCCCACCTGGGAAATAGCTCCTAACGCTCGGAAGGCTGTTCGCAGCGGTAAAGGGCAACTGGAGCTGTCTGCCTCTTACCAAGAGGGGCCGGGCCGGCTCAGTGACATTTAAGTGGAGTCAGAGTGAGCCGGACACGAGAGAGCCCTGCCTGACCTGGAGTGGACCATTCTTCACAGGGAGGAGGCTGAGACTCCCTGGACGCCGGCTCCTCCTCGCAGCATTTAGGGTGCATGCCGATTGGCTGTGCAATGTGACAGCTCATTTGTAACTGATATTAAAGGGCCAAAGTTTTCAAATGATTTTTTACAACATAAGATACATTCATAACTAGTCCTAAAATAGCATCCTTCTCTTAACGTTTCAAGATGCTATTTTGAACGAGTGAAGGTTACAGAGAACAAGACCTTGTTCTATGCCTTGCTTCTGTCATTTGTTCAGGCAGGAAACGTTGAGAACTGCTGCTTTGGGGTGTTATCCCATGTTCCCTTCTCCTCAAGGACTGTGCTTCATCCCCCCGACACAAGATGCAAATTCTCCTGGACCTGCAGCTGCACCTACCCGCTACTCACTCCCCACCCCGACTGGTCCTGAAATCAGAGGCCAGGGATAAAACCCTTAGGAGCCTGGCCTCAGAGCAACCTGTCTAAAATGCAAATCCGATCAAGTCACCTCCTGTTTAAAACACCTTCCCAGACTTCCCACTGCCCTGAGGAGAAAGTACTCTCCTGCATTGGCTTATGGGCCTGAGAGCCTGGCCCAGCCTCCTGCCCAGCCCCATCCTTCCTCACTTCATCTGCCCCCAGCCTCGCTTCTGTATTGGGCTTCAGCCTCTTCCATTCCTTCCACGTGCCCGGTACCCACATACCCCCAGGGCACTTCCAGACAATCTCCTCAATGAAGTCTCTCTTCTCCATCGCCCTCACCACCCCCTCTCTGTCTAGGTGACTTGTGCCCAGTCACCAAGAGCCAGCTGAAATGTTCCTTCTCCTGGGAAGCCATGCCCGCTCCACCCCCTGCTCTGATGCTCTGCTCTGTGCTTCCAGAACATTCTCTGCTGCCCCTATCAGAGCACTTATCAAACAGGATAATCACTTATTTGTTCTTCTCTCTAAACCAGCAGTTTCAACTGGGGATGATTTTACCCGTCCCCCTGCCCCAACAGGGGACAGATGTCTGGAGACCTTTTAGGTTGTCACACTGGAGGGTTTCTGTTGGCATCTGGTGGATAGAGGCCAGGGATGCTGTTAAACATCCTAGACCAGACTACCCCGCAATGAAGAATTATCAGCCCAACATGTCCACAGTGCCTAGGCGGAGAGATGCTACTTGAGACTGTGAAATCTGTGGTATCCTTACTGCCCAGAACAATGCTTGGGATTCACAATGCTTGAGAGTGAATAAATGCCACTTATTTGTTTTGTGATGCCAACCTCTCTGAACCTCAGAGAGGTTCATCAAGTACCTTAAAAGCTTATCAAAGATTTAAAACACCTGCCCTGATGCCTCTGAGATTCAGGCAAGATAATGGTAGCAAAAGTGTTTTGAAAGCAAAAGTACACAACATGTGTTATGAATGATACTGTCATTATTCTAAAATTGCCCTCTGATTCTGAGTTAAGCTGCTTTGGGAACCCTTTAATATTTAAAAGTCAAATTTTCCCCCCAGATATTAATCTCTCCCTGGAATACTCCTAAAAGTGATTAAAACAGTTTCCAAAAGAGCCCAGCATGCTCGGGTTTTACAATCGATGAGCTTTGCTGCGGGAGACACACTGGCTGGGACCCGGCACACAGATGGAGCAGCCACGCCCTCGAGCGTCGTCCCTGCACGGGAGCACGGAGGAGGGAGAGGTTAACCAGTCTGAGAGGGGGAGGGGAGGCTTCTCCAAGGAGGTGCTGTCATGCGAGAATGAGTCCCTTAACCGCATGATCAAGGGGCGAGCAGTCCCAGCCTCCGGACCGCTCCCCCTCCCCCTCCCAGGCAGGATCTGCTTCATGTTGATCTAGAAATTTTGCTACACTGGGTTTCTGTGCCTGTTGGGCTTCTAAATTCTCATTTAAAAGCATATGAACAATTGGTCTGTGTCTAATTATCCTGTTCCATTGCAGTCATTAACTGTACAGATCCTGGGCACCAAGAAAACAGCGTCCATCAAGTCCATGCCAGCGGCCCGCACAGGTTCAGCTATGGCACCACAGTGTCTTACCAATGCAACCACGGCTTCTACCTCCTGGGCACCCCAGCGCTCAGCTGCCAGGGAGACGGCACATGGGACCGTCCCCGCCCACAGTGTCTCTGTAAGTAGATGTCATTACTCCAAATGGTCACCTGTGCAGTCATAGGATAGGTCATGTCATAGAGCTGGGCTCCCGTGTGTGTGTGTGTGTGTGTGTGTGTGTGTGTGTGTGTGTACACGCATGTGTGCATTACTTCACAATGACTGTCGCTGACTGCCCCTTGGATGGCAGAGCCCTGCTTGGCCCCGGTTGGGTTAGTGGCCACACCACCTCGCATGCTCTTTCTTCCTGGCTGTGGGCCTTCTCAGCACTGCCACCCCCTCTTCAGCCTTCAGGGTCCTCTTTCTCTAGAATTGCCTGCCTGACAGAACACTGTCTCCCATTTACCCCTTTCTTGCTTTTCCAGAAAGACAACACAGTCCTTCCTTTGAATGCCGCAACACTTCAGGCAGACCGACCTGGATGTGAATTAATAACTAGCTTCTTTTGGAAGATTTAATCCATTTGCATTTTTTAGTGAAATATAATTCACATACCATAAAATTCATTCTTTCAAAGTCTATCATTGAGTGATTTTAACATATTCACAAAATTGTACAATCATCACCACTCTCTAATTCCAGGGCATTTTCATTAGACCAGAAGGAAACCCTTTAGCAATCACTTTCCATTTTCCACCACTACCCTACCCACTGGGAATCATCTATCTACTTTCTGTCTGTGCATTTGCCTATTCTGGACATTTTATGTAGATGGAATTACATATGTGGCCTTCTGGACTGGCTTCTTTTACTTAGCATACGGTTTTCCAAGTTCATTCATGTTGTAGCATTTATCCATACTTCATTCCTTTTTATGGCCAAACACTATTCCATTGTATAGCTACACCACGTTTGTTTACCCATTCCTCAGTTGATAGACATTTGAGCTGTTTCCACTTTCTGGTTGTTATGAATAAAACTGCTAAGAACATGTATGTACAGGTCTTTGTGCAAACACATGTTGCCAGTTCTCTTGGATAGACTAGTATACCTAGGAGTGGAATTGCTGGGTCATATGGTAACTTTATTTTGAATGTTTTGAAGATAAACGTTTTCCAAAGTGTGCACCATTTTACATAGTTGCCAACAGTGTATGAGAGTCCCAGTTTCTCCACATTCTTACTTATGCATTGTTCATCTTTTTCATTATAGCCATTCTCATTGTGGTTTTTATTTCCATTTCCCTAATGACACGATGTTGAGCATCTTCATGTGTGCCATTAGTTTAATATCTCTTCTTTAGAGAAATGTCTGTTCAAGTTCTTAGCCCATTTTTTAATTGAGTTGTTTGTCTTCACATTGTTGAGTTTTAACAGTTCTTTATATATTCTGGACACTATACTCATACCAGATACATGACTTGCAAACATTTTCTCCCATTTTGTGGATTATCTTTTCACTTTCTGGATCATGCCCTTTACTCTTTCTCTTGTTGTTTGTGCTTTTGGTGGAATGTTTAAGAAACCATTGCCTAATCCAGCAATTTTCAACCTTTTTCATCTCATGGCACACATCAACTAATTACTAAAATTCTGTGACACACCCAAATATATATTTTATATTTTGCCAATCTGATCAAATAAATAGGTAAATTTTGATTCATTCACACTGACGGTTATTGTTTTGTTGGTGTTGTCTTTTTTTTTTTCACTTGACAATCTAAGAGAAGGAAAAGAGGCCAGTGCCCCTGACTAAACAGTCATTGCATGTTTTAAAAATTCTTGCAGCACACCGGTTGAAAATTACTGGCTTAATCCAGTGTCACCAAGATCATCTCATCTGTGACTAAGCATGGTTTCACTTATTCCTTTCCAAACTGAATGCTTGTTACTTCTTTTTGTTACCTAATAGCCTGGCTAGAACTTCCAGTACAATGTTGAATAGATGTGGCAAGAACAGACATTCTTGTCATGTCCCTAGTCACAGAGGGAAAGCTTTCAGTCTTTAGCCATTAAGCATGCTATTAGCCATGGGGGTTTTATAGATTCCCTTGATCAGATTGAGGACGTTCCCTTCCATTCCTAGCCTGTTAAACATTTTTATCACAAAAGGGTGTTGGATGATTGTCAAATTACTTTTCTGAATCTATTGGGATGATCATGTGGGTTTCTCCCCCCTCATTTCATTAATGTGGTGTATTACGCTGATTGATTTTCATATGTTGAACCACTCTTGTGTTCCTGGAACAAATCACACTTAGTCATGGTGTATAATGTTTTTATTATGCTGCTGAATTTGGTTTGCTAGTATTTTACTGAGGATTTTTACAACTATGTTCATAAAGGATATTGGTCTGTAGTTTTCCTTCCTATCGATATCTTTGTCTGGCTTTGGTATCAGGGTAATACAGTCCTCATAGAATGAGTTGGGAAGTGTCCTATTCTAGTTTTAGGAATAGTTTGAGAAAAATTGGTGTTATTTCTTCTTTAAAAATTTGCTAAAATTCAGCAGTGACATCAACTGGTCCTGGGCTTTTCTTTGATAAAAGTTTTTGGTTGTTCTATTTATTTGTTATAATTCTATTTAGATGTTCCATTTCTTCTTGAGCCAGTTTTGGTAGTTTGTGTGTTTCTAGGAATTTGTCCATTTTATCTTGGTTATCTAATTTGTTGACCTGCAACTGTTCATGTTTATAGTATACTCCTATAATCCTTTTTATTTCTGCAAGGTTGGCTGGTAGTAATATAACCACTTTTATTCCTGATTTTAGTAATTTTAACTTATCTTGTCTCGCTCTTTCTCTCATCAAACTAGCTACACATTTGTCAATTTTGTTGATCTCTTAAAAAAAACAACTTTTAGTTTTTTCTCTCTTCTCTTTCTATTTTCTATTTCACTTATCTATTTATTGTTTCTTCTGTTTGCTTTGGGTTTAGTTTGCTCCTCTTTTTTGAGTTTCTTAAAAAATAAGGTTAGGTTTTGGGTTTGAGATATTCTAATGTAGGTATTTACAGCTATAAATTTTCTTCTGAAAACTGCTTTCACTGCATCTCATAAGTTTTGGCATGTTACATTTTCATTTTTGTCCACCTCAAAGTATTTTCTAACTTGTCTTCTGATTTCTTCTTTAATCTATTAGTTATTTAAGTGTCTGTTGTTTACTTTCCATATATTTGTGAATTTTCCAAATTTCCTTCCATTATTGATTTCTAATTTTATTGCATTGTAGTTGGAGAATATATTTTGTATGATTTCAATCTTTTCAAATTTTATGGAGACTCATTTTATGGCCTAACATATTGTCTATTCTGGAGAATGTTCCATGTGTACTTGAGAAAAGTATATATTCTGCTGTTACTAAGTAGAGTGTTCTATAGATTATTGTTACATCTAGTTGGCTTCTAGTGCTGTTCATTATATTTCCTTGTTGATCTGTTTGGATGTTCTATTTATAATTTAAAGTGGGGTGTTAAAATATCATACTATAATTGTTGATTTGTCTATTTCTCCTTTCAATTCTGTTAGCTTTTTGCTTCATGTACTTGGCAGATCTGTTGTTAGGAACATATATGTTTATAGTTGTTATATCTTCTTGGCGGATTGATCCTTTTATTATTATAAAATGTCCTTCTGTCTAGTAACAATTCTGCTTTAAAGTTTATCTTGTCTGATATTAGAATAACCATTTAGCTCTTTTTTGGTTATTGTATGCATAGTATATATTTTCCATCTTTTTACTCTCGATCCATTTGTGTCTTTGAATCTAAGGTGTGTCTCTTTCTGACAGTATATAGTTGGGTCTTGTTCTTTATTCATTTTTTCTGATATCTGGCTCTTATGTGTTTAATTCTCATTTAATGTAATCACTGATAAGACAGCACATGGAGACAGGGATCATGTGGAGAACAACCATCGATGCCTCAGTTGACAGCCAGAACCAAGTCATTGCACAAGGGAACCAAGTACAGTGCTTCCAGAGTGTGTCCTCTTAGAGTCAGCCTACCTGGTTTCAAGAACTAATTCTATCATTGAATAGATCTGTGACCTTGGGCAAGTGACTTTTCCTCACCATGCCTCATGTTCCTCCTCAGTAAGATGGAGATAAAAATGGTGCCTACCTCGTAGGGTTGTCTTAAGAAATAAATAATATAATGCTTAAAACTTACTCTGTCCATTATCTATTGCTGTGTACAAGCTATCTCAAAACTTATTGGCTTAAAATAACTGCTTTTGTTTGCTCACAGTTGGGTCAGGAACTCAGGTAGGACTTTGCAGGTGTATTAGTTGGGTTTTACCAGAGAAACAGAACCCATAACATAGTACATATAAAATAAGGAATTGGCTCACACAATTATGGAGTCTTAGAAGTCCCAAGGTCTGCAGTCAGCAAGCTGGAGACCCGGAAGAGCAGATGTCATAGTTTCAGTCTGCGTTCAAAAGCCTGAGAAGCAGGAGAGCCAACAGTGTAAATTCCAGTCCACGTCTGAGACCAAGGGCAGGAGAACACTGATGTCCCAGCTCGAAGGCAGAGAGAGAAGTCTCTCTTAATCAGCCTTCTTGTTCTATTCTGGCCTTCAGGAGATTGGATGAGGCACACCCACACTGGCGAGAGCAATCTGCTTTATTCAGTCTACTTACTCAGATTTTAGTCTCGTTAAGAAATGCTCTCAGAATAACTCTTGAACAACTATCTGGGCATCCTTCTGGCCCAGTCAAGTTGACAGCTGTCATCAGGGACAGCGTTAGGCTAACTCAGATTTTATCCCTTTGGCCACCTATTCTGGTCATCATCCCTGCCATGCCCTGTCCCCTTTCCAGATACAAGCCATGACTACAAGTATCTCCTATCATACCCCAAGGTTTAATCCATCCAAGTCATTATCATCTCTTCTTGAACTAGTGCAACACCTCCCTCATTCTTGCCCCACTCTAGAATGTTCTCCACAGGTAGTCAGAATGTTCTTAAAATGTATATCAGGTCATATCACTCCAGTGGCATCCCTTCATGCTTATAATAAAATCCATATTCTAGGCCATCCTAGCAACCTCTCCACCCATGTCTTCTTCCCTTCTTTCCCTGCCCTGTCTATTCCAGCAGCCCTGGCTTTCTTGCTGGTCCTCAAACACACCAAGTTCATTCTGGCCTCTGGACCTTTACACCTGATGTTCCTTCCCTCAGGATGCTCTTCACCCAGATCTTGCATGGCTGGCCTCTTCGTATCACTCAAATAACTGCTCAAATGTCACCTCCTCAGTGAGGTCTTTCCTGCCCACCCTGCTCAAAAACAGCATCCTCATCCCACCCCTGACCACCCTTTTCCTGGTGCAGCTTTATTTTCCTTCTTAGCACCTGCTTAGAATTGCCTATTTATGTTATTATTTATAGTCTCTCTTCCCCACTAGAATATAAGCTCCACAAGAGCATGAACTTGATTCTTCCAAACACAGAACAGTGCCTGGCACCCAGCAGGCACTCGGTAAATAGGTGCCAAGTACATGAAAGAGCCTGAGGTCCACCTGTGGCAAGAGCGATGGGAAGGCAAAGCACAGCACCGCTGACAGCAGTGCCTGCCTGAACCTGTGCACCTCAGCTCCATCTCACCACTGGCTCTCATAGTCACGCTTTGCTGTTTCAGGAAAGGGAACTTGCAGGCTTAAGGTGTCAAGTTGGGGACAATGGATGTGGGCAATTATAAGATGCAGTTAGGAAAGGACTACAACTGGCCCTTGTTCTGGAACCTGTGGCCAATGCAGACAATTCCAGGATCCCGATTGCCCGTATTGTCTTATGTGTGCTATGTGCACCACCTTTCTGCCAGAGACACTTGGGTATGTCCTAGAGCAGCGAGAAAGAGTCAAGAAAGAAAAGCAACAAATAGGATTGCATACCTACTACATGTATTATCTCTTCAACTCTTAAAACACGGGTGTCACTCTTCATTTCACTGATATGGGAACTGTACAGCGAGATGGGGAGGCATTGCCTGCTGATGTCAGCTGGATATGCCAGCAGGGAGTTTGCTTTGATTTATACCCAGGGTTTCTCTCCTCTCCGCCTGTCACTACCAAAAGCCTAGTGTGTGTCCTGTGATGACGCTCTCTCCCTGAGCAGAGTTGCTGACATGTTTGCTCTTCCCCACAGTGGTGTCCTGTGGCCATCCAGGCTCCCCACCCCATTCCCAGATGTCCGGGGACAACTATACCGTGGGGGCAGTCGTGCATTACAGTTGCAGTGGCAAACGGACTCTGGTGGGAAACGCCACCCGCGTGTGTGGGCTAGATGGACACTGGACAGGCTCCCTGCCCCACTGCTCAGGTATGGGGCCTGCAGGGGAAAGAAGGGCCCAAGGGGACAATGGGAGGGGGACAAGCTCCCCAAGTGTGAGTGTGATAGAAGAACGGGAGGAAAGCAGAGCTTTTGAGCCCTCCTCTCATCCCTACCAGGCAGAGGGCACAGCTATGAGAGGTCCCAGCTGGACCTCAGCCTGTGGTGGTCTGAGTCCAGCTTCATCCTTCATCAGCTCTGGCCAAGTTCATACAGCCCAGAGACTGCAAACTAGGGAGGACATAGCTGTTCTTATAGTTTGAGATTCTAAGATGATCCTGTCTCCCAAATTGCACTTCTAAAATATTGAACCAAATATTAGGAGAAATTCTCAAAGCACTAGCCACTGTTTCAAAGGGCTATTGGCTGCCCAGGCCAATCCCAGACACACCACTCTATTTCCACCAGGACTTTGGCCTCTCACCTCTACAAGACTCATTAATCGCCCAGTTCATGAACGGAGCAGGATAAGTTATGAGCCTTGGGGACTCCTTTAACCTGAACTAGAAGAAAGTCAATTATCTGGGTTCCTTTCTAACTTCATTCTGTTTTGACTTCTGGTGAAAGTGACTTGGGGAGGATGGCCTGGGGAAGACAACAGCCAAGTATACTGAGGCTTCCTGAGTTGTCCACAGAGCAGGTTCCAAGAGGAAGAGCATTCCAAAGAGGAAAGGCACACATTTCCAAAGTCTTCTCACCCAAACTCTAATTTCCATTTGGAGTTGTCTTAGTAGAGGTTGGAAAATGACCTACGGGAAATATTACAGGAACAGTTCTTATCTGAAGTAGAAAACTAAGCTGGAAAATCTTTAAAACTTTTCAACCCTGAGATTTTCTAATTTTGTGATTTTTCAAGAACTGGTCCTGCATGTGGAAGAAGGGACTCTTGCTTGGCCACATCAAGGTTGATAGGGAAGACTTAGAAACAAGCTGACACCTTGGGAGCATGAAATAGTAAAGCAAGAAACACGCCTTCAGTGGACATGGACCCCACTCACTAGGGGATGTACTGCATTCAGCTGTTTAGTCCTGATCCCGAATATTCTGAGGCACAGTTAGCATCTCATTTCTCCTGAGTATCCATCAAGGACGACAGAAACTTGGGAGACCAGAATCATGGGCAGAGCTTTCCTGGAGACCTCCAAAGACAGGACTAGACAGGATTCTATAAATGTTGAGGCTGAGGAATGAATGCCTTAGATTAAAAAAAATAAAAAAGAGGTTAGCCCTAACCAGTTTGGCTCAGTGGATAGAGTGTCAGCCTGCAGACTAAAGGGTCCCACGTTCGATTCCAGTCAAGGGCATGTACCTTGGTTGTGTACTCGATCCCTAGTAGCGGGTGTGCAGGAGGCAGCTGGTCAATGTTTCTTTCTCATTGGTGTTTCTAACTCTCTATTCCTCTCCCTTCCTCTCTAAAAAATCAATAAAATATATTTTTTTTTAAAAGAAAGAAAATTATTTTTTAAAAAAACAAGAGATGCGAAGAATAGGAGATTAGGATGCAATGCAAGGTGTGTACCAATGAGTAGAATATAATTCCTCCCTTCCTGAAACTTACAAATGTCATCTTTTGCAACATCATCTACTGCCAGGCCAAAGAAACACACATTCAGGAGTTCCAGGGTCAAATTTTTGAACCTCATTTTGTACAGTCAGTGCACCCAGATGATGTATAACAAAATGTCCTAAGTCCTTGAGACAAGTCCCTAGGCCATCAAGGACATGCAGAGATTTCCAGCATTGGAGACATACTTTGGGAAGTTCATTGCTCACCTCTTGCTGATATGCCTCTTCAGTAAAAGAGTCAGCTGTTGCCATCTGCTCCCATGATACAGTATCTGTCCCAGACGCCCTTATATCATTGACGTGGAAGCTCCAAACACTGCCGTGGGGCCATTCTGTCAGATAAGCCCCCGGGACTGGAGAGCTCCACCCTCAGGCCTCTTGCACAATAGCGCTGGCTCCAGCAGAGATCAGCTAGGCAGTGTGGGAGTTAGAGTCCTCACCATCAGGGCTGCCTTCCAGGGGACCCAGTACTGCCTGTTCCAAATCTTCAAAAGATAAGAAAACCTGGTCAAATGTGATGGGCCCTCTTTCTTCAAATGTTTGACTTAAAGATTGAATGAATCCCCCTCCCTTGGTAGGGAGCAGAATGGGGAACATGGTATTCTCATAATTCCAGGATTGAAGGGAAGAGACAAAAATGGTCAATAATGGGTTATACATTATTTAAACATTTCTTTACGCCGACAAACTAAAAGTGGTCACTCAGATGTTGCCATTTGATGCCCGTACGGGTGGGTTCATGATGAGGTACAGCCACATGAGTTGGGAACATTATCTGCTCATGCAGAAAGGGATGAGATGAGAGGTTCTAAGATATTTAATCCGGAGCTCATCTGTACTCTGTAATTTGGGAGTAGGGAATCCTCAATTAAAGGATCAGGATTCAAGCTGGGCTGTTGAAAAGATGAGGCAATGCCAAGGAGCTTGAACTGTATCCTATAGGCAATGGGAAGCCAATGGAGATATTTCAGCAGAAAAGAAGCAAGATCAGATGAGTGGTGGTTGTTCATTGTTACAATCTGAGGATAAATGGAAGATGCATGAGAGAGAGACTTGAAGAGGAAGGGACGTTAGTTAGGAGGCTCTTGCAATAGTTCAGGCAAGAGAATGCTGAGCATCTGAACTAAGATGGTGGCACTGGGAACGGGAAGGATACTCTGGAATCAGCGGTTATTGGTGGAAAAGAGGGAAAACAGAGAAGGAGGAGATGCAGCCAGCTTGGACCTCTGGTATTCACACTGGTGCAGGCCAACGAACGAAGGCATGATCCACCAAAATTCTTCCCTCTGCCTTCTCTCTTCCTTGCTGGGTGGTCCCCAGGAATTCACCGGTGACCTCAGACCTTTCTATTCTTTGAACCCTGAGTAGTAAGGCAGGAGCCTGGTCAGGTAACTTGGGCTAGACACAGTCAGTTTTCACCCCCTCGTGCAGAGGGGCCCACTGCCTCCTCTAAACAGTGGCCCAACATCCTCCTCTCTGTCCTCCACTCCCTTCCTTCCATGCTAAAACAATGGTGCTTGTTTGGTTCTGGTCCTTAGGCACCAGCATGGGGATTTGTGGTGATCCTGGGATCCCGGCGCACGGCATCCGTTTGGGGGAGAGCTTTGCCCCCGGGAGTCTGATGCGCTTCAGCTGTGAGGCTGGCCATGTGCTCCGGGGATCGTCAGAGCGAACCTGCCAGGCCAACGGCTCGTGGAGCGGCACGCAGCCTGAGTGTGGAGGTAATGTATGTGACCATTCTCTCTTCCCCTTTGCCTGCCCTGTTTGCCCACCCCTAGCACCTGCTCTCGCTCACAGATGAAACCATGGCCCCGTGTGAACCCTTGGCCTCCTGGAGAGTGGACATCAATAGATAGTTCAAGTGCATCGTCATTTGTAATCTAAAGACAAACATATTTTCCACCCTCTCCTAAGAAGGGAAGAAACCAGGATAAACTAAGTTTAGCCCATTTGTTCACTTATTTCCTAGAAGTGCACTCGGGGTCGGGGGGTGGGGGTGGGGGGTCTCTCGGCCCAGCCTGCACCCTCTCGCAGACCAGGAGCCTTCGGGGGATGTCTGACTGCCGCTGCCACCACTGCGCTCGCCAGCCGTGAGCCCAGCTTCTGGCTGAGCAGCGCTCCCCCTGTAGGAACACACTGACCACCAGGGGGCAGCTCCTGCATTGAGCGTCTGCCCCCTGGTGGTCAGTGCACATCATAGCAACCGGTCGTTCTGCCATTTGGTTGATTTGCATATTAGCCTTTTATTATATAGGATAGTTTCATTCAACAACTATGTGTCAGATACTGTCATGTGTGCTAGGGACACAAGTGTGACAGTGGCAGACACACATTGCCCTCTTGGAGCTTAAAGGGAGGAGACCGTGTTAAACAAGCATCCAAAATGCCCAAAGAACTAGAAATCCAATTTTTTAAAAACCTTTAAAAGTCATATAAACTCTTAATGTTATTCCCTGAGGTAGCCTGAGTGGGGGCAGTTATGTTTTTGCACACACTCCTAAATTTCTGAAGAGACTCTGTGTTAAAACCTCTCCTCCCAGAGTCCAACTTTTTGTAGCTGCTCCCCAGTCCCTCTGTCTCTAAAATCCAGCCTGCATAGGAAGCAGTTTAACAGCTGAAAGGGAGGTGGACTGAGGAGATGTTGGAAGAGAAAGGAGACGACAGGAAATCATCATCTCGCCTGGGAGGCGTGGGAATGGAATAGGGAAATATATAATTGCCAGGTAGCACCAGGGGCTCACTTAAGGGAGGAGGCCACTAATTTAAAGTGAGAGTAGTCAGCATTGGTCCAGGTTTTTTTTCAACCACATATTGCTACACAGGGGCAGGCACAGGGCAGGTGAAGCATTAGGTGTATGGTTGGGGTTTTATCGGGCAACTAAGACATCAGCAGAAAGTGGTGAGGGAGGTGAGGGTATACACAAAGAAGTGATTATTATTGATCTTGAAATCTAAGGTGGGTAAGGAGAGGCTGTTGTTTTTTTTAATGGGAATAGGAAGCTGTAAAAAAAAAAAAGTAGTAAATCAATGGATTATGGGTCCCAATAGGACCAAGAAATGACCAGAGAATGAATCCCAGAGGCAGAGCGCTGAAGAGATAAGAGGCAGGGTTAGATAGCAGCTGTTTGAACTTGAGGTTGTGTAGTGGTCCAGCAGAGCACAGGGAGGCGTTCGGGCCCAAGGTCAGAGGACACTTGCCCAGGAAATGAGATACATGGTAGTCAGTGCTTCGTGTCTGCCAAAGTCCCACCTTTCTGGAGTGCAAAGTTAGCTTCTACGGGATTTTTTTAGACATAGTAAGAAAGGTTTGTGGTAGTCAGAGAGTCAAGGAGAGAATTTAGAATATTCTCAAATATTCACTGTGACCCAGGTCCCCTTTCGTGCCACTCAGACCCCAGGCTGGAGTTAGTCAACATGTCAGGAGTATTCGAGGAGCAGAAAGTTAGTGGCTGAGAGTTTGGACCTGGAAGTGGATGTTGAAAGAGTGTGCGTGTGTATGTAACGTGCACACAGCTCTTTGTGACTTCCCTGACCAGCTTCTACTTACCCTTCAAGGCTCTACTCAAATCCTTATCTCCAGCCCTAATAAAATGCTCTCTTATGAGTGTTTTCTTTCCATCAAGTGTAACACTTATTACATCATATTTTGATTCATCTGTGTATAGGTAGTTTTTTAAGATATCCTGAGCTCCGCAAGGCCAGAGGACATAACTTGGTCATCACTGAATTCCTGGGACCCGAGCCACACAAATACCTGTTAAATAAATTGCTGTTAGGGCCTATCAGTTGTGCTAATTATATAGGAATCATTTTGTAGATTTGACTTCAGGACCACATAAATGTTGTACATACTTACAAAATAAACTTAAATCAAAGATTAAAAACAAGTAATCTCTTATTGGGGGAATGAGGTCACATATGTAATACCTTAATCAATAAAGAAATTAAAGATTGAAAAAAACAAGTAATCTCTAAATATCAAAATCAAAAATGGAAACTAATGAATTTATTATTTTCCCAGATCTGTCCACTATAAAAGCCTAGAATCAATGAGTGCCCTTAACACCAAGATTGTGGTTCCTAAATCCAATCTCCATTAAACGCAACCAGAGGTCTTTAGAGAAATGGCAGATTCCAGGACGGAGGCAGGAAATAGAAAGGTGAACTTGAAACATCTTGTCACTCCAGCAAGGAATCTACCAAAGACAAGTGGAATCATGAAAAGGCTCCCACTAGTCTAAAATGGGATAATTTGAGCATCGATAAGAATAATAGTGGCAATGGATGGCGACATAGTAAATAAGCTTAAGTCCTTGAGTTCCGGTGACTATCAGTCACCTTTGAAGCTTGCTAGGGAACCAACTTCTTATTCTGATGTCTGATTAAAAAAATAATCAAGCATCATCCAGCCTTCCTGTATGACTTGCATTTCAGGGTAAGCAAATATTTGGTGACAGGCATGTTCTTTATTAAAGCAGTTTAGTGAATGCAGAAAGAATTATAGAATTAAAATATCACCATTTTCTATCCCCTAACAGCAAATCTAGTCTAGCAAGAGTCGATTACTGCTAAAACCATTAAGAGAGAAACTAATGAGAATTGTATCATGCCAGAACCCATTGATCAGCCTCAACGTCAGGAACAAGGAAACAACCAGACATTCTGTGCCTCCTGATGGGATGCAAGGGAAAAGGCACAAACCCCCACGAAGTGCCCTGGTTTCTGTAACAGATAAGTCACAGGACAGGGAACAGCCATCTCTGGATTCCAAGAGTCTTAGAGACACAGCAACCAAATAGCCACAGGTGGGCCTTGTTTGGATCGTGATGCAAACAACTCAACTGTAAAAAAAGAGAGAGAGAGAATTAAGGAAAATTAAGCATGGATTGAATATTGGGAGATACTAAGGAATTGTTTAAATTTTTAGGTGTGATAATAAAACAGACATAGTCCTTATGTTTTAGAAATCATACAGGTCTCTCCTTCCCTCCTGAGGGTGAGGTGATCAGGCGTGGCAGTAGCGTAAGAGGCATTTCCATCCGCAGGTCCTTAGGTAGCACACGGTTCCCACTCGGGGCAGTTCTCGGTCCCCAGGGGTCGCCTGCCCCTGCGCTGGGGAATGATGTGCTCTTTTGGCTTCCTAGTGATCTCCTGTGGGAACCCCGGGACTCCGAGCAACGCCCGCGTCGTGTTCAGCGATGGCCTGGTTTTCTCCAGCTCCATCGTCTATGAGTGTCGGGAAGGTTACTACGCCACAGGCCTGCTCAGCCGGCACTGCTCGGTCAATGGCACCTGGACAGGCAGTGACCCAGAGTGCACAGGTGAGAACCAGGCCCATGGGCTCCATGGCAAACGGTGGCTGAGAGCAGTGGGCTCCTCCGTGTCCAAGACGAAGGCTGTCCGTGGGAGATTGGGAAGGCTGTCTGGCATGGTGGGACTTGCCCTGAATGAGATTCATACACATAATGTTTGTTATTGAGGACACATTATGTGACAGCCACTGAGCTGAGTGCTTTCTTTTATAGGCAATGCCAGTGGATGCTCACCCCATCCCCTGCAGTAGCTACTATTTAGCCCCTTTACGTGAGATGACTGAGGCTCAGAGGTTGAGACACACCGATTTGCTGTTTCTCAGGCTCTGGCCAGTTCCTCGGGCTTTCTTTTCTCCTGTAAGCAAACCCCCACTTTAACACTGCCACCACCCACCGTCTTTGTCAGTTCTTCTCTCCCTTGCACCCATCCCCACCCTGGCCTGGCTCTCAAGCCTCGTATAACCACATTATACTCTTTCTTGCTTCTCTCAAGGGCAGCTCCAAGCCCTTTTCCCTGGAAAGTGAGTCCCTGTGGGGCCCAGATGGAGGGAAGTGATAAGATAAGGAATCTGACAACATTCTCCCTTTCCAAGTCCTAGTCTTTGATGTCAGGCTCTATCTGAAATCCCATGTCAAGTTCACTTTTGTTCCACAGCCAGAGCTCACCAACCCCCAGCCTCACTTGATACCATAACATAGTTACAACCATTGCATAGGTCCTCAGACCCCGATTCTCAGATCCCTGGGCCTACTGAGGCCTCGTAGGCAGAATACCAGGTGGTAAGATACACCCGCTGGCAGACAAATTGTCTGTGGGGTTCATTGACACATCTTAGGCTCTTCAACCTGGAGACCTCCCTCCCGCTGAGTCCTAGCCTCATTTAGGAGCTGAGCCCTCTGGGTACTTCCTCTTTGAGGGGTGAGCTTTGAATAAGAAGGATGGTCATCATAGCCCAAGTTTCTGGGGTGCACAAGGGTATTGTGGCAAGAGGAGTGGGGTGCAGGAGGACTCCTGCAGGGAGACTGGGCAGTGCCCACCTGAGAACCTGGGAGGGGCTGGTATTCCTTATCTGACAGTTTCCTTCCTGGAAGTGTGTAGGGAGTGACAGGTGCTATTGGAATGCTGGGGACGAGGGCTGGGGGTGGAGTGAACAATGCTGTGTCTCCCTGTCCTAGTCATAAAGTGTGGTGACCCTGGGGTTCCGGCCAATGGCCTGCGGCTGGGCAGTGACTTCAGGTACAACAAGACTGTGACATACCAGTGCGTCCCTGGCTACATGATGGAGTCCCATCGGGTGTCTGTGCTGAGCTGCACCAAGGACCGGACGTGGAATGGTACCAAGCCAGTCTGCAAAGGTGCGTCTGAGGGCTGCAGGCGTGGACAGAGGGCCAAAGAAGTGAGGCGTGGGCCTTGGGCGTCTAGAAGGGAGGGTGACGAGGCAGAGCCCTGAGATCTTAACCAGGACTGGCCCCTGAACATCTGCAAGGAGGGAGTCAGAGGTACCAAGGCGAGGCTTGGGCTTTGAGAGGAGTGGGTTGTCAGGCGTCGAAAGGAGCAGAAAGACCAGAGCTCCCGAAGTGAGAGGGGCCATTCCTGACTCCTCCTGCTCAGCCCAGACGCCTGCCAGGTGCAGGGTGGCCAGTGACATTCGTGCTGGTGACGGGCCTGGTTTCACCGGGATGGCACCAGAACTCAGCCTGCTGTGATCTCCCCCCAGCCATCATGTGCAAGCCGCCTCAGCTCATCCCCAACGGGAAAGTGGTGGGGTCCGACTTCATGTGGGGCTCGAGCGTGACGTATGCCTGCCTGGAGGGGTACCAGCTCTCCCTGCCCGCGGTGCTCACCTGTGAGGGAAACGGATCCTGGACCGGAGAGCTGCCTCAGTGTTTCCGTAAGTTGTTCACAGGGCTGTCTAGCGCCTCCTGTCTGCCGGCTCCTTCCCCTTCCCTCCGAGCTCTGCTGCCAGAGTTCTAGACCAGATACCCAACCCAGACCAGGGAGGACCTCTGTCAGACACTATTAAAGAAGGAAGGAAGTTTAAAGGAAGAAAATGAGAATAAATGGAGCCCCAGCTACAGACTTTGTGTGGTCACAGTGGTAAGAAATTAAGCCATAGATGAGAGGAAGGTTTTTAACCCAAAAGGTTGTTCACTGGCTCGGGTAGTAGCCAGCGATGGAGGGCCTGTCTTCATGGCAAATACCCACAGAAGTGCTCCTGGGACTCATGATTTCCCAGTGACCATTTATTTCTACCCACCTGGCCCAGTCAGTCCCAGAGAGCCCCACGTCCCCCTCAGGGCTCATTTCTTACCGAGTCCCCTGGAGAAACAGGGTCTGGGTCACTTATTCTTGTCAGAGCCCGAGAATTGGTTCTGGATATTTTTCTCGGTGCCTGTGATTTGGACAAAGAATAGGATCTATTCTTCTTGTCCACTTGGCATTGGTCTAAGGCTGCAAAAACCTGTCAACATACTCACAACCCTGCTTGGGTACCCCTGACAGTTTGCTTCCATTTGAGAAATGTCAGCAGAGACGAGGGCCAGCAGCTCAGACGTGGACCCAGGAAAGGCAGCACCTGGTGCGTGGTTAACCCCCAGACCTTCGTGTGCCGTCAGGACGACATTAGGAACGGAACACAGCAAGTCTCAGGGCAGAGTCTGGACTAGAAACAGTGCTTTTCTTCTTGAGAAATAGCTGCATTGCTTTTTAGCAGTGAATTACAGTTATTGTCCCCCCAAAAAAGTGTGATATCTGAAAAGACAAAGAAGAACGTAACAGTCACCTGAACTATCAATTCCCAAAGGCAGCCACGGTGATGTCTCCACAACTATCACTCTGCATTTTTGTGTGTATAGCATATGGATATGATTTTCTATAAACGTATTGAATCGTGCTGTGCATACTAGCTCATGACTTGTATGCATTGATAGGCCAACAACACCTTTTTCTATCAATAGATACCGACCCACACATCATTATTTTTAATGGTTTAAAGAATTTCCTTGTTGTAGCTGCCACAACTTGTCTGATCTCCTTCTGGTGACGAATTTGGGTTTCTCTAATTTAATCCTGTTAGAAACAGTTCTGCAAGAAATAGCCCTGAAAATAGCATTTCCTTACCCTCGTGGTAAAGTCCTAGGAGTGAGCCTGGGTCAGCAGACATGCACTCTGTATGTTTGGACACATGATGCCAAACTGTCTTCTGGAAAGAGCGTCCCAATTTGCACCACTTCCAACAGTTTATGAGAATGTTTCTTGACTCCTTCCCTCATTAACAATGGATTTTCCCATTTTTTTATATTTACTAGGCTGAGGACTTTAAAAAGGTACCTCCTTACTTTAATTGGTACCACATTGCTTATTAGCAAGACCGAGTTTCTCTTTCTTTGTCATCCATTAGTATTTCTTACCTTTTGTGCTGCCTTTTTCTAGATAAAGTGACTTCTGATCAACTCGGCCTTTGACTGACTTCTGATTGGTCAGGTCTAGACTCCCAGTTTCCACGGCACAGACTTCTGATTTATTTGCATATTATTATGAGCCTCATGACTCTGTGTACACACACACACACATACACACACACACACACTCACATCATAGCCTAAAGAATGTTCTTCATGCTTGAAGTGATGTCTTGGGAACCAAAGGTAGTCAGTTTTTAATGATACTCTGAAGGTCTGAATGAATGAGCACACTCCATGCACTACCCACCGCAGTGTAAATGCACACCCCTTGGAATGACAGTTGTCCGTACTATACATCGAGAGCCATGAACACACTCAAACCTTTAAAAATAAGTCCACTCCTAGAGAATCTCCTCCAAGAAAATAATATAAGTAAAAGGAAGGCCCGATGTAACTATAATAATAGAAAGTGCCTAATATATAGGTTATGACAAACTATAATTATGATACAACCTCTCATTGCAGAACTATGTAGCCAATAAATGACAAGGATGCATAAACCTGAGAAATGTTCACAGAATATTAAGTGAATAAAACAAGGTTAACAACATTTGGACGTTGGGTTTGCAGCCACGCACAACTTTTCCTACAAGTAAACAAAGACCAGAAGGGGATGGGCATGAAAATGGGGGAGGAGCAAGGGGAGAACAATGGGTAGGGGCTGAGAGTTCATTTTTTCTCGATGTTCTAAACTTCCTGTAGTGTTTCTCTGTTACTTGGATGGTTATTGATGAGCACTTCGAATATGGGAAGGAGAGGAAACAGCAGCAGGGGGGTGGGGACCATGGGATCGCACACTGGGTTCTGGAAAGCATGTTGGACCTGCCTTTCTCCCTTGTGCTCCCAGCTGTGTTCTGCGGAGATCCTGGGGTCCCGGCCCGGGGGAGGAGAGAGGACCGCGGCTTCTCCTACCGGTCGTCCGTCTCCTTCTCCTGCCAGTCCCCTCTGGTGCTGGTGGGCTCGCCACGGAGGTTCTGCCAGTCAGATGGGACGTGGAGCGGCACCCAGCCCAGCTGCATAGGTGAGAGGTGGTCTGGGGCACTGTCCCAGTTGTGGGCATCCCTCTTTGGGGCCCAAGATGATGGCTTTCCTTCCCGGTGCTCAGGGGTCTCACCTGCAAAGGGGGGCAAGTCCTCCTCTGAGCTTCTTGGAGCAGGATGTGAAACAGAGTTAATGTGCTACAGGGCATGGTGGTGTCAGCCAGGGGTCTGTCTCGGTGGGAACATCGAGAGGCAGGGACATCGGGACGTGGCTCCGTTTTCTTCTCTGCATCTGTTTCTCAGAGGGAGTTAAGGCAAGGCAAGCTTCTGTGACCGTGTGGTCTGTTTCTTTGTTTTGCGATCCAGACCCGACGCTGACCACGTGTGCAGACCCCGGCATGCCGCAGTTTGGGATACAGAACAGTTCCCAGGGCTACCAGGTAATGGGGTCGGCCAAGATCAGGCCTCGGGCCTCCTGCCCCTTCCTGTCACTGTCGGCCTCGGAGGGCCCGGGGACCTTGCTTGGAACAGCACTAGTGGGGGACGAGACCTTGGGAGCTGGAGGAGAAAAGAACTCTGCCTGTTGGAGCTGAGCTGCACGGGACCCCCGTCACTCTGTCACATGTTACCAAGAAACGGGAAAACTGTGGTATAGTCACGGCTTCTTAGCCGTGAAAATGAATGAACTGCAGCCCACCCAGGGTGGATACATCTTAGCAGCACAACATGAAATGACAAAGGTGGTAAGGTACTATTTCTCTCAAAATTAAAACCAAGAAACACGTCCATTGCTTAGAGATATAGGTACACATATGTGATAGACTTATTTTTTTAACAAAGCAAGGAAATTAAAAACACAGAATTCCAGGTGGTGGTTACCACTGAGAGGGAGCTGAGGAAGCGGGCAGGGAAGGGACACCCTCGTCTGTAATGTTCTAGCTCCTGAGTAGTGAGCTCAATCTAAAGTGTTCATTTTATTGTTATAACTCACGTCTACATGGCTCCATATATTTTTCCTATGCGTCAACTATCACATAATAATTTTTGAAGAGAGAAAGTTATAGGCCAGGTCATGTAGGGCTTTGAGGCCAGGATAGCATTTTGGAATTTATTCTAAATCCCAGGGGACACCATTGGAAGGTGACTCGATCTGATCCACCACCTGGCTGCTGATGAGAGAACGAATAAAAGGGGGTTAAGAATAGAGGCCAGCCCCGGCCGCTGTGGCTCAGCTGGTTGAGCATGGTCCCAAGCTCGATTCCAGCTCAGGGCGCACGCTCAGATTTTGGGTTCATCCCTGGGTCTTACAGAAGGCAACCAATTGATATTTCTCTATCACATCAATGTTTCTCTCTTTCTCTTTCTCCCTCTCCCTCTAAAAAAAAAGTTAATTTTTAAAAAAAAGAATAGAGGCTAGACAAGTAGGACACTATTGCCGCAGCTCAGGAGGAGGGTGGGATGGGCAAGCGTAGTGACAGTGGACGTGGAGAGAAGTGAAGGGGTTAGAATGGATTTTTTAGGTAGAACCAAGAGGAGTTGTTGATGGATTGGACCAAGGATTGAAGGAAAGAGGAATCAAGAATGACGTGAGGTTTTTGATTTGCACGACTGGGTGTATAAAGGTGCCGTTTGCTGAATGAGATGGTGAAATACCAACAGACAAAGAGGTTGACATGGAAGGAGGGGATGGGAATTAAGAGTTTCACTCGATGTTAGAATCGGCTCCTATATGTCATAGAAACACACGGGTGTCTTGAGCTGGGAAGTAGCGCAATCGAGTTGCATTTTAGGAAGCCGATGGGCAGCATCATGCCACATGGACTGGACGGGGAGAGATGGAGCTGGTGGTTGTGGAGGTTGAGTCAGATGGCGAGGAACACGTGGAGGGTGAGCGTGGGGAAAATACTGGAGTGAGGGAGGGAGGGCGGCTCTCTGCCCAGTAGAGATTTACAAAGCACAGTGTCAGATTCTCTGAGGGACATGTCTATAAGGAAGACAAGTCTCCCATCTTGAAGGAACTTACCATTTCATAGAAGAAAGAGACAGTTTCTTCACATTTTATAAAATGCTTCCACATCCACCATTGCATTCGTGCCGCAGCCTTCCGGCCCAGTGGTGACAGGGCTGGCCTGCCCCACTCCACACTTAGGGAGACTGCAGTGTAGCGAGTTTTACGCAGCTGTCACTCAGTAGAAGCCAAAATCGGCTTCTACTCAGATCGGGCTCCTCCGATTCTGAGTCCGGCACTGCCCACAGCAGCGGAGTAGCGAGTGTCCCATCAGAGCATTGATGAGGGTGTTGGGCGAGCCCGTGTAGAAGAGGAATAATATAAGCTGCCTCAAAGGACAGATGCGATCTAACCAGGCGGAGAAGCGGAAGAAGGGGCTGCGGGCAGAGGCAATGGCGGGAGGAGGAGTTGGGTCATGGGAAAGTGAGTGACCGAGTGACAGGTATGAAGCATGGCTGCATGGAAGGTGATCGTAGTACCTTCTGTCCTCGCCCCAGGTGGGAAGCACAGTGCTCTTCCGCTGTCAGAAAGGTTACCTGCTCCAGGGCTCCACCACCAGGACCTGCCTCCCCAACCTGACCTGGAGCGGAAGCCCGCCCGACTGTGTCCGTGAGTGCAGACGCCCCCACCTCCCAACACAACCCGCCCTGGCGACACATTGTCTCCCCCGAGCTGGGCAGCCAGGGCGCTGGGATGCTCTGAATGACAGGGAGCGCACACTGCTCATTGGCACCAATGATGGTCTCTGTCATCATCTCACCCTGGGGACTCACAGAAAACATTTCACACAAAAGCCTTTCTGATCTTTGAAGGCAATGCCTAGGCCTTAGCAACATAAAAGAAGGAACTTTCCGGGGGCAGCAAAAACTAGTAACCACCACAGCCAGCCCTCAGATGGAAGATTCCAGGCTTTGACCTTAGTTACTCCTCTTCCCTCTGGATAAGTCCTGCAGGCTGTGGTTCCCCGGGGGCTGATAGGCCAGCATCTGCCTGTTGCCCATCATGTCCAGTCCTGTAGACCCAGGGCTGAGAGGTGGGGTAAGGCGTGGGAGGGGATGCTGGACAGGAGAGGGGCCTGAAGGGCACAGGCGGGGGATGTTCCTTCTGGGACCGGGAATGGTCGCAGGCCCTCCGCTCCCAGGTCCAACAGTGTCTCTCTTCTGGTCCAGCCCACCATTGCAAGCAGCCAGAGACGCCAACCCACGCCAACGTCGGGGCCCTGGACTTGCCCTCCATGGGCTACACACTCATCTACACCTGCCAGGAGGGCTTCTCCCTCAAAGGTGGCTCCGAGCACCGCACCTGCAAAGCAGATGGCAGTTGGACAGGCAAACCACCCATCTGCCTGGGTGAGTGCGCCCACTGGCGAGCCCCTTCCGGGCGGGAGGCGGAAGGCGGCTGGGCCTGGGTGAAAGGAGGGCAAAGGAGAAGGAGGAAGGAGGGTTTCCAGGAGCTGGGCTCTGCCTCTGACTTTCTGAGGCACTGAGTCCCTAGGAGCTGAAACCAGGGCAGCCTAGAGAGGCACAGAGTGAAACCTTCTGTCTGTGCTTAAATACAAGTACACTCCTAGGATTACTAGTATAGTTCGTCACCAGACAGAGAAAATCTCTTTGTTTCACCAAACCAGAATACGGCATTATGCATATAACCTTGATAAAACAGCACCCACCCACAGATCCCTCGGGGTGACCAAGAGGTCACAGACCTCCCTCTCCCTGAATGTATTCATTCTCTATTTACTGAGCATTATCACTGTGCATAACTGCTGAGAATTTGGAGGTGAAAGACGAAACCCTGCCCTAAAGGAGCTCACATTTAGCCACAGAAGACAGACACATCAGATCTAACAGTACCTTCAGGAACATAGAGATGGGGCTGAATGTGGGATGCAGTGGATGGTGACTAATTCAGTCTAAGAGTGGGAGGGAGAAGTCAGAGAAGGCTGACCTGAGAGAAGGTGGTCTGGGAGTCCAGCAAGGATGCCCGGGTGGCATGGTTCAGTGGTTAAGCATCAATTTATGAGCCAGGAGATCACGGTTCGATTCCTGGTCAGAGCACATGCTCAGGTTGGGGTCAGGGCACATGCCCAGTTTGTGGGCTCAATTCCCATTGAGAGGCATGCAGGAGGCAGCCTATTGATGATTTTCTCTCATCATTGATGTTTCTTTCTGTTTCTCCCTCTCTTTTCCTCTTTGAAATCAATAAAAATATATTTTTAAAAGAGTCCAGCGAGAATAAACAGTCAGTTTGGTGCTGGAATGGCATGAAACTTTCTTACAGGCGATGAACTTGCCATATGACAGGCATTATACTAAGTACTTTGGGTGTACTACCTCATTTATCCTCCTCAATCATCCTATGAGGCAGGTTCTATTCATAACCCCATTTAATATATGAAGAAACTGAGGCACAGAGAGGCTGAGTAACATGCCTGAGGTCACCAGCTGGTAAAGGGAAAGAGCTGAGATTCAAGCCCTGAAGGTCTGAGTTCAAATTCTGAACTCTAAGTACTTGGTTGTTCTGCTTCTCAGAGAGAGAGGACTCAAGGTCAAAGCCTTTATCAGAGCTAGCATTTCATAACCACCTTGTCTTTTCACCATATCATTGTTGTAAATTTCCTTTATTTATGGAAAGTAATATTTTTCCACATATGATATTAATACAAGATTTCATTTTTAGAGTACACTTATTTAAGCTTTTCATGTGGTAAAATATACGTAATATAAAATTTACCATTTTAACTACTATTAAGTGTACAATTCAGTGGCATTAAGTACATTTGCAATATTGTACAACCATCACCACTATCCATTTCCAGAATTTTTCATCATCCCAAACAGAACTCCATTAAACAATAATTTTTCATTTCCTTGAAAACCTCTAATAACCTCTATGACACTTTCTAGCTCTACAAATTTGCCTGTTCTAGGTGCCTCATGTTAGTGGGATCATCTAATAGCTGTTGTTTTGTGTCTGTGTTATTTCACTTAGCATAATGTTTTCTAGGATTATCCATGATATAGCATGTGTCAGAATGTCATTGCTTTTTAGCCTAAATAATATTCCTTCAGTGAATAGTCCTTCAATGGATATACCACATTTCGTGTTTTATCTATTTATCCACTAATGGACACTTGGGTTGTTTTCACTTTGGGGCTATTATGAATAACTAGAGGCCTAGTGCATGAAATTTGTGCACGGGGGCAGGAGGGGGGGTGTCCCCTCAGCCCAGCCTGCACCCTCTCCAATCCAGGACCCCTTGGGGGGTGTCCGACTGCTGGTTTAGGCCCATAAACCGGCAGTCAGACATCCCTCTCACAATCCTGGACCGCTAGCTCCTAATTGCTCACCTGCCTGCCTGCCTTGTCACCCCTAACTGCCCCCCCGCCCCGCTGCCAGGCTGATTGCCCCTCACTGCCTCTGCATGCCAGCCTGATCGCCCCTA